TACGAGACGTAGAGAGAGAGAGAGAGAGAGAGAGAGAGAGAGAGATCTTACAAGGAAATTATTCTTGGAGTAGATTTATTAGAATAGCTGCATTCTATAGAATCCCATGCCAACTTATTATGTTCAGTCGATATGCAGCTTCGATATTCTTGATAGCAACAACTGGCGTATAAGTAACATTGTACATACATATATATGCAACGTTATAGTAGGCCATAAGAGTAGGACATTAGGGATGGAATAATTTGGTTATTGTATAAACAAATACTAATATTAGGTTGGGGTTCATACCATCGTCCAAAAACGTTTCTGAAACTGGGAACTCCATAACCGTGTAAACCTCATAAGCGTTAAGCAATGGTGGAAGAGTTGACCTCCTTGTCCTCACCAACTCCATGTCGCACGATAGACCATCACATTTATTTGGTGAGGTGTTGAATACGGTTTCTATCTGTAACTTCTTAGGACTATACGCTGAATTTGTGATGTTTCCATTCCATGAAATGTCAAATTCTCTGATATCGTTGGCCTGAAGGTTCTCGATCTCAGCAAAGTGAAGATAAATCACAATATTGTCACTGGGATTACCTGAAGACCCGCCACCAAATCGAAATGTTTCACGGGCATTTTTGGACTTTGCACCGGACCTAGCTATAACTTGAGGTAGTCGAAAGGGATTAGAAGAATTCACAGTAAGGGTGGTGTTTATTTCTAACTCTCCAGGATAGTAGTAGTTACTAGACCATTGACGATCGTAGACATCATCAGGGTACCTGTCACAAATAACATTTATGTTGGCCATATATGTATAAATATATATTCTCTGCAAAATTTCTTGTAAAGTAGAATTGTGCAATTTCAATGTCAAAACATGACTGAAGTTTTGGTAAAAAAAAGTAAAAGCACTGAATTTTTTTGGCATGGAATAAAATTGATGAGAGTTAACATACCGTAAATCCGTAGTAGTTCTTAACAGAAAATAAAAACACATACCGTAACCGTGCCATCATCATTATGTCGGGCCTATAGTAGTGCCGATATACAAGTTTCAAGGACCCTGGATCCGTAGAATATGCATCTTTCTGTAAAGGCCGTAGTTCCAAGGTTGATATGAAAGGTGTTGTTGTTCCTGTCTTGACAAGGCAAATCTGCAAGGAGTTTGACTTCGATGTGTGAATTATCTCAATCTGTGGTTGATCACTGAAATCATTGAAATCATTCTCATGCACGGTACTCCAATAATTAGTCCCGACATAAACATCAAATCTTGGATATATATTACGGCCATCATAATTTCCATATCCAAATCCAGCTCTAATTAGATAATTGATGCCCTGCATAACACCTAGATTATAGCAGTTCCGTGTTCCATCTGGAAAATATCTCAAAGCGTTATACTGTTTATATGTATAAACCCATTCAGTAGCGATTGTACCACGTTTTCCAGTTTGGATGAAATCAGCGTCAGATGTATAATTTAATTTGGTCGTTGGTTCCGTATATGGAGACTTCTTCGGGGGTAACCCACAATCCAAACTAATGAATCCTGGAAAGATATAAAAACACACATAAAAACAGCAATGGTGACCAAAAAAAAAAAAAAAAAACAGCAATAAAAACAGACTGGTAATGGAAGATTTTTTGTCTTCCATCTTAATTATGGAAAATTTTCAAGTTTTCAAAGATAGTTCAACAAACAAAAATAGTAAGTACTGCACGAATATTAAATTTATAACCAGTACAATGCCCATACCTTGTTGATCCTGAGCATGAACAAGATGTAAAAAGAAAAAACTTATGACTATCAGGGCCCCTTTTTGTCCATGATGGCCATCCATTTTCAATATAACTCAAAATAGTCGTAGAAATGTTTAACTCTGGTTCGTAACCTTATAAGTTGAAGATAATAACATTATAACAATATAAATCGTAAGAGCTTCGTAAAAGTCTCGAAAAGTATGACGATTTAATATATCCATGTTGTCTAAATAATAGTAACACGAACAAGTTGAGTTTAATTTAAAGATCGATCACCATATACGACAAAGCAAATGCCCCGCAGGTAAACGACGTGCCTACAACATAATATGACACCTAATAGGGCTTCTGAATTTTTTTTTTTTTTTTAATGAATGCAAAATTTATTCAACCAAAAAATATAACTTGTTTACAATAGGACTTCTGAAATTGCCACGGTCCATAAATGTAACGTACGTGGAGGTGGAGTTCATGTAACCGAAATTAAGTAACTGACCTTTTAAGATGGGGAAAAATGTTAATAAAATTCCCAACTTACCATTTTTGGTCATTTTAATCCTCAATTATTATTGTGGTCATTCAAAACCCAGACTTCTCGTTGACGTTGTTTTTAAACCACCAACTTCTGTTTACCGAACCAGATTATACATGTCGTTAAATCCTTTAACAGACGACTTAACAGCTGTTTATGGTTGTTTAACAGTCTCTGTTAACTTCAAAACGACGACGTTTTGGTTTTAGCGAACCACCAAAACCTCCAAATCAAAAATCAAATCCCTAGAATCCCTTTTTCCCCCAAATCGAAACTCCTTCTCCCCCAAAAACCTCTCATTTCGAATTCATCTTCTCCTTTCCCCAAATTGAAACTCCTTCTCCCCCAAAGAAATCACGGATCACAACCCCAAGGAGAATCACAAGGAGAAGCTCAAGGACTTCGAAATTAGAGGATTTTGGGGGAGAAGGAGTTTCGATTTGGGGAAAAAGGGGATTCTAGGGATTTGATTTTTGATTTGGGGGTTTTGGTGGTTCGTTAAAACCAAAACGTCGTCGTTTTTGGAGTTAACAGAGACTATTAAACGACCATAAATGGCTGTTAAGTCGTCTGTTAAAGGATTTAACGACATGTATAATTTGACTCGGTCAATAGAAGTTGGTGGTTTTAAAACAACGTCAACGAAAAGTCTGGGTTTTGAATGGCCACCGTAATAGTTGAAGATTAAAATGGACAAAAATGGTAAGTTGGGGATCTTATTAACATTTTTCCCTTTTAAGATGGCGAGAAACACAACATGGCTTATCTATAATATTTTATGTTACGAGCAGTTTACGAGGGAGAAAGGCTAGTTTTGATCATGATGATATATCCTTCTACCATGTGTTATTTTTGTAAAAATGAAAATATGTTATGTGCACTTCAGCATACAATTTTTTGAGGATTCAAATGTTATCTACAAGAACCTAAAACAAATTACAAAAAAGATAATTGAGTATCGCATCAAATCCAATAATCAGTTCAAATAAGCTTTAATAAAGATTCATCAAAATATATCCAGCAATGGTAAAATTCATTTTTGACGAACTTCCTAGCGTGCTTTAGGGATCACCTCGGTGTCAATATCCATGCTGAATTCGATGGAGCTCATTGAGTTCATTTCTCGACTCCCTCCTGTCCTTGAGTTCTCAGATATCACACACTCTTTAAGATCATTAACAACTTGGGACATGCTTGGTCTTCTTGCAGAAGAATGATTCACACATGACATTGCTAATTCAATAGCCTTCCATACAGAACCAACGTCGTATTCTCCTTGGAGGTTCGGGTCTATAATATTTCCAATATCTCCTGTTCTTACAATAAATCCAACCCATTCTACTATGTGAGGCTTTCCGCGAGTTTGGTCGATTATACGACGGTTTGTAATGATCTCCAATAGTACAATTCCAAAACTGTAAACATCACTTTTCTCTGTCAACCAATTTGTTTGATAGTACCTACAAAACAAAACATGGAATATGGTTTATATCTATTGACTATGAAAAGTGATGATGTTCAATATAAATCAAAAACTCACTCAGGATCAAGATAACCAGGAGTTCCAGCAACAACAGTTGATACATGTGTTTCGTTTCCAATAAGAAATGATCTTGAAAGCCCGAAATCGGCTAATTTGGCTTGGAAACGTTCATCTAAAAGTATGTTTGTACTTTTTATATCTCTGTGAACCATTGGTGGTTTGCATCCAGTGTGTAAGTACTCCAATCCTACATCAAACAAAATAATACCAAAAAAAAGGCAAATGAAATAATGAATGTTATAATGAACAAAATAATTGTATTAAAAATGTAAAAAAATCTTAATTATAGTGTACCTAATGCTGCATCCAAAACTACTTTTAACCTGCTTTCCCAGCTCAAGACAAATCCACCACGCTTTCCTGTAACAATCGGACAGTATTAATTACATGTAGCTTGAAGTGTTGTCTTTGTTTCAAATGTGACCTTAGATATCACAAATTTTTTATTTTATTTTTGTAAATCGGTAAATATGTTCAAGTACCTGACAAATGTTGCTTTAAGTCTCCATTTGGCATGTATTCATAAATAAGGGCCAAATGTTCTCCTTCATCACAGTACCCAACAAGACTCACTAAATTTATATGGTGCACTCTCATTAGAAGTTCCACCTAACCAACCATCCATTAACGAAAAAAGTTACACATTATTTGGATTTCTTTAATTTAGAAAATATTTGGAAAAATTATTACCTCAGCCTTGAAATGTTTATAGCCTTGAGATGATGACTGAGAGAGCAATTTAACAGCTACTTGTTGAGTGTCATTAACACAACCATGATAAACAACTCCAAACCCTCCTTCACCAAGAACTCTTTGAAAGTTATTTGTCATTTCTTGAACCTCGACATAAGTAAACTTTATCTTTTTGGACATAAACGATGTTTCCGACTGTTTAGAGTGTCCAACATCTGCTAGTGGCACACTTGGTGAAGCATGTAGATCTACACAATATAATGTTAGGTTTTGCATATATATATATATATATATATATATATATATTTATATGTTTCATGAAATTTCTCTCATGATTATGGCTCAAACTTTACCTGAAGGCACTTTCTTCTTTCGGAAAACAAAAAAGAGAACCACAAGCACCACTACAACAAGCACGGATGCAACTGATGCAACAACAGGTAGCAGTAAACTATTTTTCTCTTTTTGATTGCATGAACTAAATTTGCATAGCTCTGGATTTCCATCAAGTCTACAAAAAAAAACATGTAATATTGAAGTTGTTAAATTAATGCGCTATGTAGAGTTGGAAGGAACATAATCAAATTGTTGGAGTACATATACAAAAACTTATATATGGCATGTCCCGTAAAATAAATAATGATAGAGACCTTACATTAACACGAGTCCTTCCTTTTTTCTGTCAAGAAGAGTCTGAGGAACTGAACCACTGAGATTGTTCCCACTTAAGTTTCTATTGAAAAAGCAAACCATTATGTACATTGCGTGTATATATACAGGCAAAATGTTCATTCTCTTTTTTAGAAAGCTTACATGAAAGACAACGATTTAACGTTGGCAAGAAAAGCAGGAACAGGTCCCGTCAAACCGTTATTAGACAAATCCCTGCGCGCGTAAAACATTGGAAAAATACGGCTTTCGAATCGCTTCGAGACAGATCATTCTTGATTTTGATAACTCAAGAATATAAAATACTTACAGCTTTTGTATTTGCGTTAGATTCTGAAAAATTGGGGCTATGCTCCCAGTTAATCCACTTGATGAAAAATTTCTAATTAAGCACAAGCCAAAATAGTTATTAAAACAAAAAAAAAAGTAACTTACAAGATGATATGTTTGTGAGTAGATAGTCTTACAAGGAAACTATTCTTGGCGGTGTGGAGGTATCTACGTAAGTGCATGTTAGATTATCCCAGACTAACTCTTGAGGGAGACATGGATCTCCTTGCCAACTTGTTTTCGTTAGACCGTAAGTAGCTTTGATTTTCTTGATAGCAGCAACTAACATAAACATTAGAAAATGAGAAATGTAAATTTATAACTAACATTAATCTCAAGATTATCCCTCATTTATATAAATAAAAATAGAAAAGTTAACGGAAGTATTGAATTAATATAGTTTGGGTGAGATACCATCACTTGGGGGTGTTTCCAATAACGAGAATTCGATAACAGTGTAAGCCTCAAGAGTGTTGATGAGAGGTGGAAGGGTTGAATTAGGAGTTCGTATTAGCTGTAAACTGCAACCTCCAGAGTCACATTGCGTCGGTATATCAGTGTATATTGTATATACCTTTAACTTGGTAGGACTAAAGCCTGAATAATTAAAGTTTCCTTTGAAGAAAATATCGAATTCCCTCGTCTCATTGGCTCCAAGCGTTTGTATCTCCGCGAAGTGCATGTATAAGTACACTTCAGCATTAGAGGGTTTGGGTCTCCAGGTGATGATCAATGGCTCACTAGCGTTTTTAGGCGTCGCAGCACTTTGGAGTACAGCTTTTGGAATGTCATATATATTAGTATTGTTTATGTCGAGACTGGTCGTTATCTCCGAATATGGAGAATCGAAGAAGGGATTCCAAAGACGATCATATATGTCATCGCTATACCTGCAAACTAAATAGATTGTATTAGGCAAAATAATAGAGGATTTCTTTTTCAAATTAAGTCTCAAATTGACCTTGTTAGTCTACTTGTTTTAGCTAGACAAGATTATTACAATCATCAATAGCAAATAAAACCTATCATCATGCCATGATCCATGATAGAACCCAAAGGACGGCCCAAGAAAATAGTGGTCACTTTTATTATCGACCAGCCTAGCCAATGACCGACCCAGAAATATTTATTTTACCAAGATAAAATATAACTAAGAAAATAAAATAAAAATTAATAATTTCAAAAAAAAAAAAAAAAAAACTGAAAGAACTATCACTTATTGTTTTAAAAGAAGAAAGAAACAAAGTCGACGACTTACCTATAATATCGACGGGAATTGGAAAAGTACACCCGGAAAGTTAACCTCAGTGAGCCGGAATGTGTGACATAAGTATTATTTCTCAATGGCCTTAGTTCTATGGCTGATATAAATGGAGAGGTTGTTCCAGTTTTAACAAGACATATATCCAAAGAGTTTGACCTTGCTCTGTATATAATCTCCTCTGTTGTACCATTTTGTTTTACTGCCATGTCTATTCTTGCCCACTTGTTAGGACCAAGATAGAGATCGAAGTTTGGAAATTGATTAAGACCATCATAATTTCCATATACGAAGCTGACTGAGACGAGATAGTTTGTGCCACGGTTGACATTGAGACTGTAGCAGTTACGTTTTCCTTCCGGGAAGTATCTCAATGTCAGATACGGTTTTTCGAATATTTTGTTGAGATCTTTGTCGACTCTAGCAGTTTTGCCTGTCTGGATGATAGTGGAATCTGATGTGAACGTTAATCCATTTGAGGGATCACTATAAGGTGAATCTTCTATAGGAAAGCCACAATCCAAACTGATGAAACCTGTTTTATATAAAGATAGATAATCAAGTCAAAGGAAGATCTTTAATCTATGTATATAACTCTCAAAAATTGTTATTTACCTTCTTGAGATTGGGCTCCGACAATAACGACCAAGGTTCCGATCATGACCAACAAAAGATGAGTCTTCATGTTCTCTCTCGATCACTTTCTTGTTTCTATGGAAATCAAGAACAAGACAAAGAATTGCTTAGTAAAAGAGAATTCTAAAAGTCAAGCTTACAAGAAGACTAATTTGAAAGAATAATTTATTATATACATCTGATAGTCACATTCAATGTTAAAGTCGTGGTACCAAACTTAACTAGTATATTTTATTAAGGTTTTTCTATACAAAATTCTTCAAATGACATTTTTTTTTTTTTTTGTAAGTTTACTTTTTCAACTTGTAAGAAATTGGATTAAATTTAAGAAGTCGAAGTCAATGTATAGAAAATTAATACATATTGCAATGTTTAGGATCATCAAATTCCAAATTTCCGCTATGAAAAACATTGCAATATGATGACCTTACAGCATTTCTATGACGAATTTGAGTTGCACTCCGCCATGCCGTTTACATTGCTTAATGTTTGACGAATCGGATTGACCTGATTGTATATGTTTGTCTATTTAATCACTGTAAACCAATTTCTACACGGGGTATGCTTGTTTTAAATTTTGTTTTCCGGTTTTACACTTTGTAGGAATTTTTAAGTATTTTTATGCAATATAAACTTGTTTTATACTTTTATTTTAAATTCTTGCTTATTTCCACATTTCATTATAATAAGCAAAATTCACTCAAAATGCTTTTTGTTTTTGTTATTAGTGAATAGTCGCTTTTGTATAATTATAAAAGCATCAATGCAAAATTAGGTCTACAAAAAAATATTTGGACCAAAAGCAAACCAAAACAAAAAATTGATCCTAGTTAAGAGGTACCAAGATAAACTGAAACCGGCATAAAATACTCGAACGATGCTACGTCTGGTCATACTAATTAAAACCAAATAACCGAACCAAAACAAAATTAGGGATCTGGTTTTGACTGAAACAGTTTTGACCCTTTTTTGTTTTGTACGCATAAAATTTTTCTTTTTCTTTTTTTTTTTGGGTTAAAAAATCGGTTAATTTCTCAAAGTAACCAATCGGAACCGAACGCGCCTAAAACACAAATCTTTTTAGGTTTTATTTGGTTTAAATTTTACCAATCTGAACCAAATTTTAGTCGACTTCTATATGGTTACCAAATTTCATAGAAGACATAGCAAGTTGCAAGTTGTTGACATTATGATATATAGTGTGATATTTCCATTCAAAGTATATATAAATACATAGTGTGATATCAGATTAATTGACAAGTTATTTATTGGTGACATCAAATCAACCAATTTGCCCAATTACAAAATTTTGTAATTCTACATGTTAGTATGAAACTTCTGGAATTAATTTGTTCATGTTAATGTTTCACGTTTCAACTTGGCTTTGCAAAATACACAGTTATAGTCCAACTTGTGGGAAATTTGAATCAATCAAAGTACAAGTTCAAAATTTCATAGACGTATTGTAATGAATTGGCCGTTTCCCATCTAGTTGTTTTTATATATAAGTCGTTGGTGGAATTATATATCATATAGATATAGTTCTTTGACATTATATCAACTTGGCAGGTTATACATTGTTTTAAGCAAAGATAACATCAGGTGCCCTGATTAAATATTCACATAATCACATATTCCCACAAGTTGGACTATAAATGTATATGTTTCTGATTATACGTGATTAACATGAACAGATTATAATTCAAGAATAATTCTACATCATCATGTAGATATACTTTAAATATTTTAGGTGTTTCTTTTCGCAAATCAATATATTATCGTCTCATATCTTCTTGTGTAGGAAAGGTTCGTATGATTACTTGAAAATGGAGTGTCATCGCAAACTATTATTGGCGGTGACCTTCGGAGTTTTTGCCATTATACATCTGGTTCAAGCTCAGCCTGATCAACAAGGTAATCTTCAAAACATTTGTAAATGTATTTTTCATTGGTTCTATAAAATTGGTAAAGTATGATCATGAGTGAAAAGTAAATTACTATAACAATAGTTTACAAACTTATAAGTTTTTACAGTTCCAACCAATTATCTCTATCATACCCACTATTATTTTCATTTTTTTTTTGTTTCATTAGGATTCATCAGTCTAGACTGTGGTTTGCCCCCTGCTGAGTCTCCATATAGGACCCCGTAACCGGATTAACATACTCATCTGACGCTGGTTTCATCCAAAATGGTAAACGCGGTGAAGTCGGGGTTGAAGAGACCTATGTCTACAAGCAGTACAAGGATCTAAGATATTTTCCTGACGGAATACGAAACTGTTATAATCTGAAAGTAAACAAGGGAATCAACTATCTTATAAGAGCTGGTTTCTCCTATGGGAATTATGATGGCCTTAATGTTAATCCCAAGTTTGACTTGCATGTTGGACCTAACATGTGGATAACTGTGGATTTGGAATTCGAAAATGATCGTGAGATCATTTACACAAGTCAAACTTATTGCAGATTTGTCTTGTCAAGACAGGTGAAACTATACCAATGATATCTACGTTAGAGTTACGGCCATTAAGAAATGATTCTTACATGACACAACTCGGTCCACTGAACCTAGTGAACCGTCGGACATATACAAGTGATTCTTTTGGCTTTATACGGTATGTAACGTCAGTTTTACTTTGCAAAGGTTTTTATGATATATTGATATGCTTATACATACGTTTATGATAGCTGTTAATTAGAAATGATTACAATCATATTTCCATCATATATAATGTTATATTAACTTATAAACAGTATAAATTATTTTCATATATAATTGCATATACCTGAAAAACATAATGACTAACTCTAAAATAATCGTCTATTTATTCATGAAAAATCGCTTTATCTTATCTTATTCTTTATTTTTTTAGAAACTAATTTAGTTTTGGTAAGCTAAAATGATACTTTTGTGAAACGAAAATAAATCTCTAAAATGACACTCTTTATGAATATGATAGAGTAACAGTTAACAAGGTCTATTTATGTATGCATGGCTAACCAAAAGTTTTTGTTTCCAGGTATCCTAATGATATATTTGATCGCAAATGGGATCGATATAATTGGGTTGAAACAGATGTAAACACCACTCTCAATGTGACTTCCTCTAATCCTTTTGTAATACCAGATGCTGTAAGTAGATCGGGTATCTCTCCGAGAAATGCCACAAGACCACTGTTCTTTTTCTTGTTTCCTGACAGCGACAGTGACAAAATTAGTGTGTACTTTCATTTCGCCGAGATCCAAACCCTAAAACCAAATGATACTAGAGAATTCGACATCTTATTGGATGGGAATACTATTCAGAAAGCATATAGTCCCAAGGTGTTACAGTCGGAAACAATATACAACACATCGCCACAAAAATGCAAATCAGGCTCATGCGATTTGGACCTCGTAAGAACTGAAAGATCAACTCTTCCACCTTTTATTAATGCTATTGAGGCATTCAATGTTTTGGAATTTCCATATACTGAAACAAATCCAAACGATGGTATGTCACTACTGTTCATTCCTCTATTATATAGCCTGATATATCATATATATATCGTGTATGCTAACTCTTTGACCTCTGTGTTAGTGGCTGCTATGAAGAGTATTCAAGAAATTTATGGAGTGAACATAATAAGTTGGCAGGGAGATCCTTGCGTCTCTGAACTCTTAAAATGGGAAGATATAAAGTGCAGCTACGCAAATAAGTCTACTCCTCCGAGAATTATTGCCTTGTAAGATATATCACTATATATGTTTCCTGTTAAAACTCAAATTTTAGCAAGTATATTTTAAACTCATTCTAAATTTATGTAAACAGAGATTTATCGTCACGCGGCTTAAACGGGCTCATTACACCTGCCTTCCAAAATTTGACCGAGCTTCGAAAATTGTAAATGCGTACTACTTTTTTCATCTTGTACATTATCATTCATCATTCATAAAATCTTTACAAATTCAGAATCATGATTTATAGTCCAAGGCGAACGGAATTAATTTTACGAATGGACTATTTTCTTTATCCTATCAATGGAAAAAAAAAATGACTCTTTTCGACTTTATAAATGTCAGGGATTTATCTAATAACAGTTTTACTGGTGCTGTGCCCAAATTTCTAGCCAGCATGAAGTCATTATCGGTGATGTACGTTGAATTATAACAAACGTTAATTGCCCACATATATTTTCCACTATATTCGGTTGTTGTCATGTAATATTTAATTTCTCTGCACTGACAGAAATTTAAATTGGAACGATCTTACGGGTCCTTTACCGGAAGCCTTACATGATAGAGAAAACAATGGGCTAAAGCTAACGTGAGATTCTCAAAACTGTGTGTGTGTTTTTTTTCCACAAGCATTTGTTTGAGTTACAGTTTATTTAACAACGCTGTTTTTTTCCTTTAAGGATCCAAGGAAACCCAAAGTTTTGTGCTGATGCGTCATGCAAAAATAACAATACTCAAAAGTACGTTTTACCAGTTGTGGCATCGGCAGCTTCTGTCCTCATCATTGTAGCTGTGATAATTCTCATTCTTGTTTCCAAAAAGAAAAGGCCAAGGCAAGGTTCGTAGTTAGTCATTAATGGGATATATCCTTATTGTAACATGAAATGCATGATGACATGAATAAATATTAAGGGATGCCTACTCTCTTAGATTTGTTTTTTTGTTCTTTTCACATCAGATTCTTCATCTAGGGTTCAGCAAGAGTTGCCAAGTAGGCCTGCCATATTTTCGCAAACAAAAAGGTTCACTTTTTCAGAGGTCGTGGCATTTACGGACAACTTTGAAAGAGTTCTTGGAGAAGGAGGGTTTGGAGTAGTGTATCATGGTTCTTTAAATGGTACGCAACCAATAGCTGTTAAACTTCTCTCTCAATCATCAGTGCAAGGCTATAAGGAATTTAAAGCAGAGGTATGTTAAGGTTAATATATAATTCTTATTATCTTATATATGTTATAATTTATATAACTCTACACTACACATGAATATTTCTATATATTCATAAAGAACATCTATATTGGCTCTACATTAATTATGTTTTGATATGGTTGGTTAGGTAGAACTTCTTTTACGGGTTCACCACGTAAATTTGGTAAGTTTGGTTGGATATTGTGATGAAGAAAGCCACTTGGCCCTCCTTTACGAGTATGCACCCAACGGTGACTTAAAACAACATCTCTCAGGTTTAAATTTGGATACACCACAATTCAAAATAAAGATCACTTCCCATATTTTGAAGGTTCATGTTGTCACAACATTACTCAAATATATTTCTTAAATATAGGAGAACGTGGCGGCTCTCCTTTGAACTGGTCAACTAGACTAAAAGTTGTCGTTGAAACTGCACAAGGTTCATTCTAAATTCAGCATCCTTCAATCACTTTACACTGATTGTCTAACATGAATGAATTTAATATATATATAGGATTGGAATACTTGCATACCGGTTGCAAACCTCCAATGGTACATCGCGATGTCAAAACAACAAATATACTTTTAGACGAGCACTTCCAGGCAAAACTAGCAGATTTTGGTCTTTCAAGATCTTTTCCAATTGGAGGTGAAACTCATGTGTCAACAGCAATTGCTGGCACTCCAGGATATCTTGATCCTGAGTAAGTCTTGTATCATTAACTTAATTAGATATAATGATTTTATTATTCCTTTGACATAGAAACTTCCATGTCTTGTTATGTAGATATTATCGAACAAATAGGTTGAATGAAAAGAGTGATGTATACAGCTTTGGAATTGTATTATTGGAGATCATCACAAGTCGGCCTGTGATTCAGCAAACCCGAGAAAAGCCACACATAGCAGCTTGGGTGGGATACATGCTTAGTAAAGGAGATATTGAACAAATTGTGGATCCAAGACTCAATAGAGATTATGAACCTAGTTCTATATGGAAGGCTATTGAGATAGCAATGTCGTGCGTGAATCCATCTTCGGAGAGAAGACCAAACATGTCTCAAGTTGCTAATGAACTAAAGGAGTGTCTGACATTAGACAACTTAAGGGGAGGAGTGAGACAGGACATGGGCTCAAGAAGTTCAGTTGAACTAAGAACAAGCTTTAAAACCGAAGTGACCCCTAATGCGCGATAACGTATTGCCATAATCACTAATGGCAATGCTTTGAAAACTTTTTTTTTATATATATACGAAAATTATCTTCTCGTTGATCATTTATTCGTAAGACTTGGATTGTATTTGATTTACTCCTGCTTGTGCTCGTATATATGTGACATTACGGCTATGTGTGTGGATTTTTTTTGTTTGTCTTTTTTTTGGGTATTGTTTGCGGAATAGTTACTTTTTATGTTTTACTTCCATGGATTGTTAATGTCAAAATTAACTTTTCATGGTTTGTAAACCAATTAATTTCTATGTAGCCTACCTCAAGCCATACAAGAAGTGAAGAAACTGTATCCAACCTTAGGATGTATATTTTTCAGAAGCCAACATGTATTCAAAAGAACCAATTTTTTTATATAAATAAGTTTAATTTAAATACTAAAAATGGAAATCGGTAAAAGAAATGACATATCAAATTTCTAAATTGATTTTATTTTTATCAACTTTATTTCTAATGATATAAGCCTACCACCATATGTTAATGCATTTCATTATGTACTATGCTTTAAATCATTCAGAAGTTTTCCACCACAACCTACATCAAATAACAACAAATTCATTTGAAAGTTATATCAAATCCAATAAACAATTGATACTAAATCCCTTGAAGGTGTTGAATTGAAGATTCCTCGAAAATAAATAAATAACACACTTGTTAAATACATTTTTAACGAACTAACTAGCGTGCTTTAGGGATCACCTCGGTGTCAATATCCATGCTGAATTCGATGGAACTAATTGAGTTCATTTCTCGACTCCCTCCTGTCCTTGAGTTTTCAGATATCACACACTCTTTAAGATCATTAACAACTTGGGACATGCTTGGTCTTCTTGCAGAAGAATGATTCACACATGACATTGCTAATTCAATAGCCTTCCATACAGAACCAACGTCGTAATCTCCTTGGAGGTTCGGGTCTATAATATTCCCAATATCTCCTGTTCTTACAATAAGTCCAACCCATTCTACTATGTGAGGCTTTCCACGAGTCTGGTCGATTATACGACGGTTTGTAATGATCTCCAATAGTACAATTCCAAAACTGTAAACATCACTTTTCTCTGTCAACCAATTTGTTTGGTAATACCTACAAAACAAAACATGGAAGATGCATGGTTTATGGTTTTATAACTATTAACCATAATGTAAGTTTATGGACCAACAAATAATATGAAGTAAATACTCACTCGGGATCAAGATAACCAGGAGTTCCAGCAACAACTGTTGAAACATGTGTTTCATTTCCCATAGGAAAAGATCTCGAAAGCCCGAAATCGGCTAATTTTCCTTCGAAACGTTCGTTCAAAAGTATGTTTGTACTTTTTATATCTCTGTGAACCATTGGTGGTTTGCATCCGGTGTGTAAGTACTCCAACCCTATATTAAAATTTTGACGTGTAAATCATTGAGTGAAATGTTTCACATAGGGTCGTTAACTAATACTAACAGTCTAGAAGTGTTATTAATAATTTAGTGTGTACCTAGTGCTGCATCGACAGCTACTCTTAGTCTACTTTCCCAGCTTAAGACATATCCGGATCCACCACGCTTTCCTGTATCAGACCGATGACATTAGACAAACGTTATGATCTTTTTTGAAATAAAACTTCAAACATTATGGTTCTTTAAAGAAAAAACAAATGGTGTATAAGTTCTTTTACTTGATAAATGTTGTTTTAAGTCTCCATTGGGCATGTACTCGTAGATGAGGGCCAAGTGATCTCCTTCATCACAATAACCAACAAGGCTCACCAAATTTATATGGTGCACTCTCATAAGAAGTTCCACCTGACCAATCATCTATTAGCTAATACTCCTAAATATAGAAAGTACATGTAGACAAAATTGGATTGCGACAAAGATTATCGGATAAAACATTACCTCTGCCTTGAAATGCTTGTATCCTTGAGAAGATGATTGAGAGAGCAATTTAACAGCTACTTGTTGAGTAACATTAACACAACCATGATAAACAACTCCGAACCCTCCTTCACCAAGAACTCTTTGAAAATTATTTGTCATTTCTTGAACCTCGACATAAGTAAACCTTATCTTTTTCGAGAGGAATGATGACTCTTTAGCATGTCCAACATCTACTACGGGCAAGCTTGGTGGTGCTTGTACATCTACAAAATACAATTGCAAATACATTATTCATTGATTTGATAAAATCTCTCTAATCATTATTCACCTCGGTAAGACTCACCTGAAGGCACCTTCTTCTTTCGGAACACAAAAAAGAGACCCACCACAACCACTATTACAATAAGAACAGAGGCAATTGATGCAACCACCGGTACCAACAATCCATTTTTCTCTTTTTGATTGCATGAACTAAGCGTGCATAGCTGTGGATTTCCTTCAAGTCTACAAGGAACATGTAATACCGAAGATTGTTAGATTCAACATGTAGCATACAGATGTGGATGTGGAAAATATATATCTGAACTTTCAAGTACACCTAAGACCATATCTTGTCATAGATAAATCAAAATAATTAAACATTAATTCTAAGTTTTATGCAAGTACTGCCCATTCATGTTTAGTTGATAAATCATGTTTATTCTTACTTTAAGACAAGTCCTTCCTTTTCTCTATCAAGAAGAGTCTGTGGAACTGAACCGGTAAGATTGTTCCCACTCAAGTTTCTGTAAAGGAAAAAATAAAAACCAAATCCAACAAGTTATATAGAGAAACCACATCCAAAATATTATTCTGCTTTCTAGAAAACTTACATCAAAGATAATGATTTGATGTTGGCCAAAAACGCAGGCACAGGTCCAGTCAAACTGTTATTAGACAAATCTCTGTCCAAACATAGATAAATAATAATGGTCGGCCTACATGTCAAGTTCGAGCAAAGAACTCTTGCTTTGATGAGTCAAGAATAGAATTACTTACAGTTCTTGTATGTGCGTTAGATTTTGTAAAATTGGGGATATAGTCCCAGTTAATCCACTTGCTGACAAGTTTCTAAAATACGCAATCACAAATAAAAGAAAAATAACACTTATATTACATAGTACGTAATTTTAAATAATGACCTATGTTTGTGGTATACTCTTACAAGGAAATGATGCTTGGTGGGGTGGAAATATTTGCATAACTGCATCCAAGATTTTCCCAAGATAATTCCTGAGGGAGACATGGATCTCCTTGCCAACTGGTTTTACTCAGACGATAAGTAGCTTTGATGTTCTTGATAGCGGAAACTAACATAAAAAAAATTAGATACAAAAAAAATAAATAGCATATAGGAAGCCAAAATTTAATATGTGGTATTAAGTGCAAGTTTGAGTGAGGTACCATCACTTAGGTTTGTTCCCAATTGTGGGAATTCGATAATAGTGTAAGCCTCAAGAGCGTTGATCAAAGGTGGAAGGGTTGACTTCGGAGTTCTTATAAGCTGTAAATTGCAACCATCTGAATCACATTGCACTGGTGCACTTGTGAAAGCTGTAAATAGCTCAAACTTGCGAGGACTAAAACCGGAATAATTAAAGTTTCCTTTAAAGACAATGTCGAATTCTCTCGTCTCGTTGGCTGCAAGGGTTTGTATCTCGGCGAAATGAAGATAAAAGTAAACTTCAGCATTAGAGGGTCTTGGTTTCCAGGTGATGATGAGCGGCGCACTGACGTTTTTAGGCGTGGCAGCACTTTTGAGTGCGGCCTTTGGTACCTCAAATGAGTCTGAATTGCTTATATTGAGACTAGTTGTTATATATGTATATGAAGAGCTGAAGAATTGATGCCACACACGATCATAGGAGTCATCAGCATACCTACAGTTAAATTTTATTAGGCGACAAATTTTACAATTGCCAATGACAGACAACTCTCAATTATATTGTCTTAAACAAAGTCAACTTACCTTATCTCTCTATCTGAAGTGCTACAATAAACCCGAAAAGAGCTCCTCAGTGATCCCGAATGCGTAACATAAGTATCATTTCTCAGTGGTCGTAGTTCTATAGCTGATATTATTGGTGAGGTTGGTCCTGTTTTAACAAGACAAATATCCAATGAGCTCGACCTCGCTCTATGTATGATCTCCTCGTATGTACCATTTTGTCTTCCTTCCAAATCTATTCTTGCCCACTTATCAGGACCAAGATAGAGATCAAAGTTTGGATATACATTAAGACCATCATAGTTCCCATATATGAAGGTAACCAAGATGAGATAATTTGTGCCACGGTTGACATCAAGACTATAACAATTTCGTTTTCCTTCTGGAAAGTATCTCACCGTCAAATACGGTTTTCGGAACAATTTGTTGAGCTCTTTATCTACTCTACCACTTTTCCCAGTCTGGATATAAGTGGAATCTGATGTGAATGTTAATCCAGTTGAAGGATCACTATAAGGAGATTCCTCAATAGGGAATCCACAATCCAAACTGATGAAACCTGTTCAAGATATAACTCAAGTCAAATGATGAATAAACCATTGAAAGAGCTTATATATAATTTACCTTCTTGTTTTTGGGCTACAACCATAAAGGCAAAGGTTCCAAATATAGCCAACCATAGATGTCTCCTCATCTTCTTGGAAAGCTTATATGGAAATCAAGAAAATCAAGAACATAACAAAAACTTCGTTTAGTGAAAGAAGAAAAAAACTACGTAAATGAGATATTTCTGTTAATTTTTGAAGCACATTGGAAGGAATTATTCGTTTAAAAGTCAACTTAGACCAAACTTAAAGAATGAATAATTGCGAGAATTTTTGTTAATTTTGGTTTGATTGTGTTTATATATTTGACACGTTCCTCCAACCTCAAATTAAATTGTGTTTAATCTTTCAATCAGTTTTGCTAACTATCATAGATGCATTAAACATGCATGTCATCGATACTATATCGAGTAAGTAAATAAATATGATGCGAGTTATTATACTTACTTGATATATACCGATATGCGTTTGACATAAGCGGCAAGCTACATTTAAACTTATATTATGGTAAATCAAGAAACGACTTTTTTTTTCTTAAGCTGTCAAGAAACGACTGATCATAGTTTATTTTCAAAGATCAAGACCTTTACAATATTGTAGGGGTATATATGGCGATTATGATTGACGTGAAAGTCAACATATTCTATTTAATCCATCAAGTTGTTGTTAAATACAAGATGTTGAAGTCGTTGGCATTAGATCAACTTAATTTGCAGGTTTTAAATTGTTTAAAACAAAGATTGCATTAGTGTTTTTTTGATTTGGGACGTGCTGGGACGAAGTAACATGAAACGATTCTATTGGATAGCTTTCCCATGCCACCATGCATATGAGTGTTTTTTTTTTTAATTTTAATTTTTCTCAATCTTAAGAGAATTTCTAATTTGTATTAGAAACTAAGAAAGACAACCATATAGTGAGCTAGTAGTCTTTCGTATCAACAAGAGCAATCAGATTACTTTGTATAAACAACACAAGAGATCCATTTTATGTTTTTATAGCATTTCGTAGTTTTTGCCATTTATAAATTATTGTTGCCCTTGTGATTGAATCTACAAGCACAGAAGCTTTATCACCGGTTCGACATATGAACTTTGGAAGGGACAAATTTGAGAAGCAAGCAATTTCCAAAGATGTGTATTCGAAGATCTTAGGTTTAAGGTAGTTAGTATAAATATTCTAGGAGTTGTTCACGAGCCATTCTGAGCACTCTTGTATATTTGTGCAAGATTTTAAATTTGGATGCCATGAAAAGAGCTTAGAAAGTGAGTGTTTTCATTCTCTTACATCTACATAGGTGGGAGTCTAGATATAAAAAATATAGACTTAGATTTGTTCTTAGTTGTGATCAATTCTATTGAAACGAATAGATTGAGTAAGAGCCAAAATAAAAGTATCCTTGTAAAATATAGGTTTATTAATAAAAACAAATATATTAGGTTCGAAATAGTTAGCAAGGTTTTCTAATGCCTACAAAGCAATGGTTTCGAGTTAGGGAGAAATTTTTTAGGGTTCGATTTGTGGCTATATTGCGGATGAGAGCATGCATATTGGTTAAAATCAGTTAGGCTTTAATTCGATTGGTCTTTACGGGAAAACCCAAAAATAAAATTAAAAAGTGTGTTATTTTACTTTTTTTTTCACGAACAAACAACATTACAAAAAATGTCAAAATACAAAAAAAAAATTACATAATATATGCGTTATATAGTAATAAAATATATATATGTTTTTGAAATTGACATATTTCATTTTTTTCCTTTTCATATCAAATATTTGGGAATTGTGTGCGTGACAGCGTGAGTAACTAATTTTTGTTGAACGTCCATGATGATCCACAGACTCCATGAAAAACCTGATGATACTTCGAACAAAATCACCAGATTTGAATTTCACGTACGGTTGACAATATATAATGCAAATGTGACTATGCGAGCTATATATATATATATATATATCATTAGTTACTGCATGTCATTGATACGGTAGAGTATATAAATATGGTGAGAATTAATGATTATACTTAATCGTTGCATTTGGCATAAGCAGCCAGCTATATCTTTAAACTTATACGATGTAACGAATATATTTATTAGTTGAATTTATTTTCGAAGACCAAGAATAAATTTAACATTATTGCAGAGGTATTGCGATTATGATTGAGATGAAAGTCAACAAAATCTATTTAAATCCACCAAGTTGTTGTTCAATACAAGTCCTTGAAGTCTTTGCGCAGAATGAAGCATTGACATTGTTTAAACAAAGATTACATCAGGTTCTTTGATTTATGATTAAAATGTATATATTTTTCGTAAGACCATTTCAGACGTGCTGGGACGAGTAACATGAAACGATTCTATAGGAGAGTTTTATTTTCTACGCCAAAATGTTAAAACATTTGAATTTCTCTTAATCTTGAAGTCAATATATGTTTTCAGATAGTTTTTCATACTAGAAGTTTTTATGTTAACATGAAAATGGAGGGTCATCGACAACTTTTGCTGGTGTTGCTGAGCTTTGGCGCTTTTGCCATTATACATCTCGTTCAGGCTCAGTCTGATCAACAAGGTAGTTTTTGCATTGTTTTTGATATCATTTATTAAAGTATTGTTAGTAATTGCTTCATTCTCACTTCTTGAAGACTTGTAGTTTAGTGTTCTTGATAGACCACTAAAGAATTCACATAAAGACTATAGTTAATAGAGATTTGGTTTAAGAAAATTAAGGGTTCTCTCTTTTTCAGAAGTTTTGATTGTCTTCCATATATATAAGCTACCATGTTCTAACAATAAGGGAATGTTATTTACACTAATAATATACATTTTTGTGACTTGACAGGATTCATCAGTTTGGATTGCGGTTTACCCGCTAATGAGTCTCCTTATACCGAACCTGTGACCGGATTAGTATTCTCATCTGATGTTGATTTCATTTCAACTGGTTTACGCGGTGAAGCTGGGGATGATAACACCTATACCTACAGGCAGTATAAGGATTTGAGATATTTCCCCGACGGTATACGAAACTGTTATAACTTGAAAGTAGAGCAAGGCATCAACTATTTAATAAGAGCCGGGTTCGGTTATGGAAACTATGATGGTCTTAATGTATATCCCAAATTTGATTTACATGTCGGACCTAACATGTGGATCGCGGTGGATTTGGAATTCTCGAATGATGATGAGATCATTTACATGACAAAGTCCAACTTATTGCAGATTTGTCTTGTCAAAACAGGATCAACAATACCAATGATATCAACCTTGGAACTACGTCCATTAAGAAATGATTCCTATATGACGCAATTCGGTCCCTTGAACCTCATTTACCGACGGGCCTATACTAGCAATTCTACGGGTGTTATACGGTATGTTAACTCAGCTCACTTCTATTTTTGGATGTCAAAAAAAAAACTCAGCTTTGCCAACAATTTAACGTTCGTAATCAATCGAGGAAAGATGTTATATCTAACCTTTAGGTTTCTTAGAGAAAACTGTATGTTATTTAGGCTCCGAACGGTAACTACGTTTTTTACTTCAGGAAAAGTGCGTTGCGGTTCAAATAGTAACGGAAATACATATATGTATTTCCGTTACTATTTGAACCGCACTGCACTTCTCCCGCAGTTACCATTCGGAGCCTTAATTTCTAGGATATCTTTTGAAATTATTATAAGAAAAACATGTCAATTTGAGAAATCTAGGAATAATTATGCGAAGTAACATATGCTATTTTCTCTATTTTACAATACCGTACCATTGACCTCATATGATTCCACTCAGCTAATACTAACCCAAATATTATTTCAGCTATCCGGATGATGTCTTTGATCGCAAATGGTCTCGATATGATTGGTTAGAAACTGATGTAAACACAACACTCAACGTCAGATCCTTTAGTCCCTTTCAAGTACCAGAAGCTGTAAGTAGGTCTGGAATTATATCCAAAAATGCTACAAAGCCACTACTGAGATTTTTACTGTCACTAGACGACGACAGTGACAGAGTTAATGTGTACTTTCACTTCGCCGAGATACAAGCCTTAAGAGCCAATGACACTAGAGAATTCGACATTGAATTGGAAAACAATGTTATTAAATCAGCATATAGTCCGACGATGTTACAATCTGATACCGTATACAACCTATCACCGCAAAAATGTAGCTCCGGTTTGTGCTACTTGGATCTCGTTAGAACTCCGAGGTCGACTCTTCCACCATTGATTAATGCTATTGAGGGTTACAAGGTTTTGGACTTTCCATATGCTGAAACAAATCCAAATGATGGTATGTCACTCTATACTCTATAGTCTAATTTACAAAGGGCTTTACTTATATTTACAACTTACAAGTTTTGTTTTACCAAATTAGGAGAACAAATATGGTAGCAAAGCTATAAAATAAATATTACTATGTGTTTTTCGTGTTTGATTTGAACAGTTAGCGTAATATAATGCTAAACATTGTGTTATATGATACTTGATGAAAATATTTGTGAAATTCACATCATTAAAAACACGAAAAAATACATGAACCAACTTTACGATTTTGCAATCTTTTTGTTTTGCTAATTTATAAGAGGGTTAAAAAAAATTTCATGTATTTATGTCAGTCGCTGCTATGAAGGCCATAGAAGCAATTTATGGATTGAAGATGATAAGTTGGCAAGGAGATCCTTGTGTCCCTGAACTATTAAAGTGGGAAGATCTAAAGTGCAGCTACGCAAATAAATCTACACCTCCAAGAATTATTTCCTTGTAAGACTAAGATCACGGTCTCATAAGCATATTGTTTAGTGTTAAAACCTAAAATTTCTATAACAATCTAAGTATCTTAACTTCAAATGTGTTCTTATAATGCAAAACAGAGATTTGTCATCAAGAGGGTTAAAAGGGGTGATATCACCTGCCTTCCAAAATTTAACCGAGCTTCGAAAACTGTAAGAGCTATTGATGTTTTACTTAACGTAACACATGATATAACATATGCATTGTGACATATTTTACGTTTTATAAATGCTATAGGGACTTGTCAAATAATAGTTTTACTGGAGAAGTGCCTGAGTTTCTAGCCAACATGAAGTCATTATCAAACATGTAAGTTGATATAAACAAACATATTTGCCACTTATTTTTAACTTGGCATGGTTGTAATCTTTCTTTACCTTGTCACAGAAATTTAAATTGGAATGATCTTACGAGTCCTCTTCCTAAAGTGTTTCAAGATAGGGAAAAGAATGGGCTAAAACTAACGTAAGTTTTTTCATCCATTATGTATTTTAATTTATCCATCTACTAGCTAGCAACAAGTTTTTTTTAGTTGAGTATTATTTAAACAACACTAATGGTTTTCATAGGATTCAAGGAAATCCAAAGTTGTGTGCTGATGCCTCGTGCAAAAGTAACAATCACAAGTACGTTGTACCAGTTGTTGCATCGGCAGCTTCTGTGCTCATCATTGTAGCTGTGCTTATTCTCATTCTTGTCTTCAAAAAGAGAAGGCCAACGCAAGGTACTTATCATAGATGTATCATGTATATAACTTCATTTTTAAGATGGCACACTAAAATATTTGCTAATCTCGATCATGATGTTTTTTGGCTGTGGACAGTTGATTCATTACCTACAGTTCAACATGAGTTACCAAGTAGACCATCAATATTTAATCAGACGAAAAGGTTCACATATTCAGAGGTGGTAACATTGACAGACAACTTTGAAAGAGTTCTTGGAGAAGGAGGGTTTGGAGTAGTGTATCATGGTTCTTTGAGTGGTACGCAACCAATAGCTGTTAAACTACTCTCTCCATCTTCAGTACAAGGCTATAAGGAATTCAAAGCAGAGGTGTGTTAAGGTTAAAACAAGATGCATATGTTGTAAACTATTTAAACATGTGTCTTCATAAAGAACATCTAAATTATATGTTTTGACATTGTTGGTCAGGTTGAACTTCTTTTGAGAGTTCACCACGTCAATTTGGTAAGTCTTGTTGGGTATTGTGACGAAGAAAGCCACTTGGCCCTCCTTTATGAGTATGCACCCAACGGAGACTTAAAACAGCATCTCTCAGGTTTACATTACAAAATAAATATCACTTGCCATATTTTGATGTTACATGTTTTTACAACATCACTCAAATGTTATGAAATATAGGAGAACGTGGTGGCTCTGCTTTGAAGTGGTCAAGTAGACTAAAAATTGTTGTTGAAACTGCACAAGGTTTGTTTAGACCTATCATTATTGGGGGATAATCATCAATCACTTCACATTGATTATCTAACATGTATAAATTTTTCTTTTTGCAGGATTAGAGTACTTGCATACAGGTTGCAAACCTCCAATGGTACATCGCGATGTCAAAACAACAAATATACTATTAGACGAACACTTCCAAGCAAAACTCGCAGATTTTGGCCTTTCAAGATCTTTTCCAATTGGAGGTGAAACTCATGTTTCAACAGCTGTTGCTGGAACTGCTGGATATTTGGATCCTGAGTAAGTGTTACATCATCGAATTAATTTAGTCCAATATATATGATTTATTAGAAAAATAAATTCCATTTCTTGTTTTGTAGATATTATCGAACGAATAGGTTGAATGAAAAGAGTGATGTATATAGCTTTGGGATTGTATTATTGGAGATCATCACAAGTCGACCGGTGATTCAGCAAACCCGAGAAAAGCCGCACATAGCAGCATGGGTGGGATACATGCTTACTAAAGGAGATATTGAAAACCTTGTGGATCCAAGACTCAATAAAGAAGATTACGAGCCTGCTTCTGTTTGGAAGGCTCTTGAGATAGCAATGTCTTGCGTGAATCCTTCTTCAGAGAAAAGACCAACCATGTCTCAAGTTACTAATGAACTTAAACAATGTCTAACATTAGACAACTCAAAGCGAGGAGGGATCAGAGAAGACATGGGATCAAGAAGTTCTGTTGAAATGAGCACAAGCTTTACAACCGAAATTGCCCCCAAAGCAAGATAACTTATGACCAAAAAGTCTAGTGATCCCTAAGTATCCTTGAAGTTTATATTTTTGGTGGTCATTTATTGGTACAACATTACAACTTCATTGTATTACTTCTGAGTGTGCTCGTACTCGTATGCGACTAAGTCTATTTAGTGTCGGTGTTTTGTTTTGTTTGGTTTGGTTTGTATGATTATATGGAATAGTGGATTTCAAAGACTGACGATTGTTCAGAGTAGCCCTGGGCAAAATATTCGTTAAATTCGCTTCGTTTCGATATTCGTTTCGATTCGATTCGAAAAATTCAAATATCTATGAGAAATTGAACCGAAGCAAATATGAAAATGTAGTATTCGTAAAAACCGAAGCAAATAACAAATATTGATTTTTTTAGTGTCGAATATCCGCTTCGCTTCGTATAGTTATATATATACGTATAAATATAAATCATTATATAATATATATATATATATATATATATTATATGTGTATTTATAGATTTGTGTATATATCTTATAGGCCTCTTATTTAAATTATTATATTTTGGCCTGTTGTTTTTTTTTGCTAAATGTTGTTCTTAAGCAAATAAAATTTTATTAGAAAAATCAATATTAAAAATAAAATGTGAGAATTCGATGGACGGTGGTTACATTTTCTTCTTATTTTGAAAACATGTCAAACAAGAACCTCTAATATCTCATATTTTGCACTTTATATTTATGTACTATATATTTTTTATTTTAAAAAAATAGATGGGTCGAAGCAAAGCGAAGCAAGTAATTCGCAAATATTACGAAAAATATTCGAATATTCGAAGATCCGAATACTCGAAAATTTACGAATCGAAGCAAATAGCAAAATCAACTATTCGGTCGAGGCGAAGCAAATCACAAATATCACAAATTTTCCGAATATTCGCTTCGTGCCCAGGACTAGTTCAGAGTAGAAGACTGAAAATATTTGGACTAAGAAATTAAAAAATTTATTTTGCCATACTATTGATATAATAATGCTAATAAATAAAAAAAAAATAAAAAACATAATCCTGCATGCATGTTAAAACATTGGTAAGAAAAAAATAAACACAGCTATTGAGGGAATCTTAAGACTTTGTGTCTGCCTTTGGAGTTCATCAGGTCAGGTCTAGTCAAAACCGGGCTTCAAAAGCTAAGATGCCAGTTTTTGTCTGTGTCGGTCGGTATGTCCTTATTATTATTCCAATACACATAAAATAATGTAGTAAAATCATTAAATTGTACAGAGAAGAAAAGAAAAGAAAAAGTCGATTGTTGCACAAGATCGACAAATTGGGTTTTGCAGCCCAGAGAAGCTTTAACAGTTTTATTATCACTTTATGGGCCTTTCTTGGTCCTTGGTCCTCCAAAAAACTAGAAAAATATAGAGGTCCTCTAATATAAAACTACTCTTAACATTATGTCTCACACTTTTTTAAAAAATAATTAACGATAATAAATAAACTACTTTTCAAAATCTATCATAATCATAGAAAAAACTATTAGATGTATTTAAATTAAAATGAATAAAGTAAGGAGTAAAGTGAAATTATGTATCATCTAATCAATATTTCTCTGGACCAATCTCATAATTATAAATTAATTGTTCAAATAGTACATCTCTTTAAATATTACTAAAGTTAGGATTCTTAATTATAAAAGTTAAGAAATACGATTCACAACATATTTCAATCTGTATTTGATTCGTAATATGAGAATTCTTTTTGATGAAAATCTTGCAGCTAGGCCCATTCGATAGCAACAAAACAATGTCATGACTCATGAGGGATTGCTAATGCCTGCATAAATATCACATTCTAGACCATCACATTGTCTCGATTATATAAGTTTTTGTCTACTCACATGCATGTCCTATTTTTATCGGACTAGTTAGTTACGGTCACATTTAGTTTACTACAACATTAAAAAATATTTAGTTCCCCTAGAAAAACTCGGGTTCCATGCATTAAAAGAGAAGTAATGAGAGCATATTTATTTTGATTTTCGTTCTAGAAAAATGCTTGGCTCAGTTCATAGCAACGTATCCTGCATATTAAATGTCTTGTTTACCTTTAAACCAACAATACAATTGAATCTATATTTTGTTTGCTTATGATCATATAAGTATTACGTTAAACATCATAACCACAATGAGAAAAGTGTTATTCGCAAATCCGAACGTGTTAAAGTTTCCAAAACTGTATAAGTTGGCTTTCAAAATCAAAATCAGAATGATAGATAATTGATGAAGCTATAGCTTATGTTAAGAGTCAGAAATGATTTGGTATAATCACATGGCGAAACACACAGTATCATAGGGTGGGGACTACCGCATTGGATTCGTAAAACCTCTCTATGAAGAAATTTTCACGATTTTGGCACGTAGCCATACACCAATGGTCCACGTACGTAGTTTAGTTACTTTTATAAATTTGGTAAAACTTGGGGATGAATGATTTAAAGGATTGTGGAGATGATCACATGGGAGGTTGGAGAAGTCTTGAAGAGCATGCATGGCAAATCCTTTCACTAGCTCTTCTAATTAAAGCATTTGAGTTTTCTTTACAAATTATTTCGAAAATGTCTATTCTTATCATACTTCTTATGTAGTGTCTAGATAAATTTCGACTATTAATACTATTTGATTACGATAAGTTCAAAGTGGTCTAGATCTACCTAAGCTCATTTAAATCCGATGAATAACAAAACCGCTTTAACCCTAACACTTAGAATAATACTTGCTACTTTGCTAGGATATGTAGATATATGCACAACATCATCTAGATTCTAGACAGCCATTAACATTTCTTTTAAAAGACAATGCTTTTATGATAGAACCATGTGAATTTTTTTTCCAAACTACAGTGGTCTTACTGTTACTAAAACTACAATAGGCTCCACAACATGTTCAGCAACCATTTTTAGATATCAAAAAAAGCATATTGCTTTACAAGTCTTAAATGAAAGATAATAAAAGAGACTACCATAATAAAAACGAGATAGAGATATATTGGCTTTCTTGTATTAGCGCGTGCGGCTCGAGACTTCAACATATATTTTTCTTTCTAGTTTCAAGAAACATTAAAGAATTGACTAGTTTTGTTCTTTAGGTGGTGAGTGGTGAGTGGTGAGTGGTAATACTAGTTTGTTTTAACCGGTTTACATGCTCCGATGATTACGGTAATCAAAAGGGACCTACGACGTCGGAGACAAGTACACTTGATAGGATTCCATGTGGTGGTCCCTTTAGGTTTAGTTTAGTTCAACACTCATCATCCAATCCCAAACTTCTTCAATCATACATACATGTTACGATAATATACTCACTCGAGAGGCTAAATTTGTCAAAAGATGATGGACACGATGATCAAAATGTGACAATGTTTGCTTATTTCTAGGTAATCTCTTTTTTTTAGTTATCTATTTCATTTCTAGATTGTATGTATAGTCATACTACGGTTCTACCAAACCGTAACATGTCTTATTGTACGTATGTGCGACAACTTATGACATGGATTTGGTTTTATCAACTTTTTATTGTATTGGCTGATTGTTTTAGTTAAGAGACTATAACAAATGCAATATAAAATATAGTTCAAAACAAATAAGACATCATTGAACTATAAGATTCTCCATCAAAAGTGTATTAGCATTTTGATTTGTCGTTATTGGTTTAGACATTTAGGTTTGTGCATAAAAATAAACTCTTAAGCGAATCAAAAATTCATCGATTCTAACCCAAACCACACTAAAAACTTGAAAACTATGGACACGTATTAACATCGAATAAATCAAACCAAAAATATATTTACATCGAATAAATCAAACCAAAAAAATTATATAACTTGAATCAATCACATATATAATCACAAAAAAAAAAGTTTGATATTTTTATATAGTTCTTTAGCTTCCAAGTAACATATGTACCCCTTTTATTTTCTTATGTCCGTTACGTACGGGCAAATCATGTGTCTTGCAACAAAGGGGAAATTATGCTTAAGTAAAGAATTAGGTCTGATACTAATACAATAATTAACAACTTCATTATGCTGATGTATAATTTTTTTTATTTAAAAAGTATCAGGAGTTGTCCAAGATTATTTATCAGTATATATCAAAGTAGAAAACTCGTATTTCACATACAGCTTTTGAACATACAAAAATATATCATCATAATTACGTAATATCATCATCACTACAAACATTATAGGCACAAAGAAAGGAAATGCATTAGTGCTATTTTTTGGATCTAGTTACAACTTTCTGCTCATACTTTTGACTAATTTGGCGAAAATATATCGTAAAATCGTCCGGCGAATGAGCTATTCGACGACTTCACTCTTCCGAGTAATTAATCGGGTGTTAAAAACCCGAATCGCTCTTTGGTTAATCAGTTAAACAAAACGGTATTACCATAACTGTTTTTTCTTAGAAACCAAATTTTTTACATAGCACATTGTACTATAAAATACAAAATTCGTTAATACTAAAATTCAATAACACATTCAATAGTGTTATCAATAAGTCCATCCATATCAAAGGGCGATATTGATAGCAACTAAAGAGTGGTCATCCCAACGCGCTTCAATGGAGCGTAGTGAGATAGATGATCTTTACTTAGATCTGAGTGGAGAGGAGTAACATCATCTTTATCCGTACATCTTGAACTATGATTGGGTGGTATGAACCACGCAATACCAACCACGAGTGGCCTTAGCCGTAAGACATCTTCTATTAGCAAGACACAATATAGAGGGCAAAGCGCAAAAGACCCAACATTTAATAAATCGATTTGTACGCATGACTTTTTGTACATAAGACATACTCACTATATAGTATAGAAATAGTTTTTACATACAAATATGTGAATGTTACAATTGTATATGCTTTATTGTAATTTTTATATATACACCTCTCTCCTCCACAACTCTTCCCTACACACAATATGAAACACTCGCTCCAATAAAAATCTCTTCTTCTTCCTCTGCCTCTTTCTCCCAAAAGCTCTCTCTCTCTGTCTCTCGTAATGTCGATGTTGGGTTTGGTTTTATTGGTTCTTAACGTTCTTGCATTGTCTGAAGCAAGAATCCCTGGAGTTTATAATGGTGGTGGTTGGGAAACTGCTCATGCCACTTTCTATGGCGGCTCTGATGCTTCTGGCACCATGGGTATGTCTCTATACTCTTCTCTTTCATCAAATTCGTTCATTTTCATCAATCTAAACCTAAAGTTCCCATCTTTATTTGTAACCACATTGTCAAAATTTGAGTTTTTACTTCAAAGGTTTCAGCTTTAATACAAACCCAAACATAAAGTTTCTATCTTTCTTAAACCACATTGTCAAATTAACGATTTTGTTTTAACTTCTTGATTATACTCCTCAAAGGTTTAATTTTTTGCTCTGTTTTTGTATTTCTCAGGAGGTGCTTGTGGTTATGGTAACTTATACAGCCAAGGCTACGGTGTGAACACGGCGGCTCTAAGCACGGCTCTATTCAACAATGGTTTTAGCTGTGGTGCTTGTTTTGAGCTCAAATGCGCAAGTGACCCAAGATGGTGCCATTCTGGTAGCCCTTCGATCTTCGTCACGGCGACCAACTTCTGTCCTCCTAACTTCGCTCAGCCTAGTGACAATGGCGGCTGGTGTAACCCTCCTAGGCCTCACTTCGATCTCGCTATGCCTATGTTCCTCAAGATCGCTGAGTATCGTGCTGGAATCGTCCCCGTCTCTTTCCGCCGGTAAGAATTTACAACTTTTAGAGATGAGAAACTGTGTTAAGGGTTTAGATTAGGGTTAACTATAGTAGATTATAAAGTTTGGGGTGTGAGACCTTAATATTAGAAGTATTTGGGAATGAAGTTGAGAAGTCTCAGTCCTGACTAAATGAACAAGTGAGGTTAATGTCGGCAGAATTAAAAGTCTTAGGGTACTAGTTAAGAAGTCTTTCTTATAGATTCTGAACGACTGAGGTTAATTTCAATAGGATTCAAAATTTATGGTACTGAAATCAACATTTTAGAAATACTAGGATGCAGTTTGTGAAGTTTGTTCTGAATAATTAGGGTTAAAGTGTAGAATTAAAAATGTAGGGTGATTGTTCAAAAAAAAAAATGTAGGGTGTGAAACATAACATTTTAAAACTAAAGGGGTATAGTTGAAAAGTCTTTGTCTTTTTGATTCTTGGCGCGAGTCGGTGCAGCATTAATGTCGGGTCTCTCGTACCAAAAATTTACCAAATCTAAAAGATCTTATTGTTCTGCAAAAAGACGGAACTGTCCTTAGAACAATCCCCTTTTTACCTTATCAGTACCACTCGTTGATAAAAGTCAATACCAACAATAATGTAAAAACTGTCTTTTAGTCAAACAACGCGTTTTCTCCTGAAATGACGAAACTAACCTTTGTACATTTTGTTTTTAATTTACACAACAGTGTGCCTTGCCGGAAGAGAGGTGGTATAAGGTTCACGATCAACGGCTTCCGTTACTTCAACTTGGTTCTAGTCACGAACGTCGCGGGAGCCGGAAACATCGTGCGGCTAGGCGTGAAAGGAACACACACTTCGTGGATGAGCATGAGCCGTAACTGGGGACAAAACTGGCAGTCGAACTCGGTTTTGGTCGGTCAGTCGCTTTCGTTTAGAGTTACGAGCAGTGATCGTAGAAGCTCGACGTCGTGGAACATTGCTCCGGCGAATTGGCAGTTTGGTCAGACCTTCATGGGAAAGAACTTCAGAGTTTGAAAATGGGCAAAATCGGAATGTCATCTATCTTCTAATTATGATTATTACTATTAGAATTTCTAGCCGAAGGCATTATTACTTTATTAGTAGTAATTTGGGAAATTTTAATATAAATATAAATATATTATATTTTTACATGTTTTTTTAAGAGACCACTAAAATTCCAATTTTTCTTACATCTGATGGTTTTTTTTATATATGCTTGTGATGTGTTTGTTGGAGAGTGTGAAAGTGGTTTTTTAGTGTGTGGGGTGTTAAATGTTTATTTAGTAAACTTTTGGGGTGAAATTAGAAGTTTAGTAAAAGTAGAAGGAGCCTATCTTTGTAATGCTTCTTGTAGACCTCTTATATTGTAATTTATATATAAATTTGGGTATGTTATGGTTTATTATCTTTATTTTTTCTGGAAACAAAAGTGAAGTTCAATTTAGAATTTAGAACAAAAGTAAATTATTTTTATTGATATATTAAACTTAAAAGTTAGAATAAAACTAAGGAATTTTATTCATTGGCGCTGCTATAAGTCAATCTTTTGTTATTGTTGACAAAAAAAAAAAAAAAGAATTTTTATTCATTGGCTATAAATATTTGAGTTATCTAAGAAAAAAAATTGTGTTGGGTGCCTTGGAACTGAATGGTGGATGATAAGAAAATACCAAATAAGAAAATGAGGAATAAAATGGATGATAGTGAAATTTTGTACACAACCAACGAGATAATTAAGAAAAGTATTATTTTATGTTGTTTTTTTTTTTTTTCTTGAGCCGAACCCATGCCATCCAATCTAAATTTTGGTTATTAGGTTTTTCATATATTTTATAATAAATTTTAAAACTAGAAGATAATATTTGAATTATAAGACAGTACAAATATTGAAAATAAAGAAAATGAAGATGAGTTTCATTGTTAATAAGTAAATAACAAATGAATAATACATATTGGATATAGTTTTTGTTTGAGTGGGTTAGAACATAATTTATTTTAGAGCATTTTTTTTAACGTCTCGTTCATGATACTTATTCTTATTTATATATTTTTATATATGGTTGGCTTTTATTTCCTTGTTTTTGTAATTTACCTTTAGACAAATGTTTAAGTTGGGATTACTCAATTAATTACCAAGAAAGGAAACAACATCTTGTAAAAGTGAGGATTGAGGCACAACAAATTAAATAAAGAAATAGCTAATAATTTAATTGCTTTTGAATAATTCATCACCAAATTTTTAATTTTTCTCACTTTCATTAGTTCTTATTTTCTTAAATATTTCAGGAAGAATGAAATAGCAAGAAACATTATGATGTTTATGACAAAAAGGAAATGTCTAGAGTATTTTTGTACAAACCAACATTTTAAATTACTCACCCATCTTGGTTATTGGTGTTTTGTTATGATATTTTATGATGAATTTCAGTTTTATGGTGACATATGTACCTATGTATTTCCACTATATAAAGTTGGTAATAATCGGTGACCAAAAAAAAAAAAAAAAAAAGTTGGTAATAATCATTAATAAAGAATTGTTATAATTTTTTTCTTATGATGAGTTAAAGTGTCAAAATTTGAACCATATATATACTAGTATAGTTTGATGGTTACAAGATACAATTTTTAGTTTAAAATTCAGTAAATGATTTACTTCATAAAATCATGTAGATTATAGTCAAAAGTAATATAAAACTACAAGAAATTATAATCAAAATTTTTTTTTTCTTTAAAAAACATTATTTCATCTACCTTACTCAACGTACTACTTGTTTTATTATGCCATCTCTGCCAAAATCAGTTGTGCTATGTTTTATGATGGTAGATCTGGAAGGCTGTAGAATAAAGAAGAAAATAGTTTTTAAAAATCAATATGTTTAAAAAGAGGATAATGAAATGCATATTTTTAAATTATAGTAAAATACTTTTAAGATACAAGATACCAAGTTTTTCTAGTATAATGAATTTATATTTTCTTAATATATTAATAAGACAGTATTACGTTAATTATTACTATATAAAGTAAATGTATATTTTTTTTTTCCATAAATGTTAATCATATCTAAAGCTGATAATGAAATCTAAATTTTTAGGTTTTTAAGAAGAGAAATATATTGAAAAATAGATCGACTAATTCAACAAACAACAATAACAAAAATTGAAAATCAATAGTATATGTTGGTCAATCCTAATTACAAGACTGGTTCAAAAATCAAAATCTTGGTGCTGCATGCATAATTGAATATTAGCTTCTACTACTTTTCTTCCAATACATATATCACAAAATTTTCATTTATATGCATGTTTATGGTTGTTGATAAAACTATATATTTATGATCACCTAAAAAAACTCGTGTATCAATAACAATTTTTTTTTTTGTAATTAGAACTTCCTCTTTAAAATTCATTAATGTAGTCTACTTAAACTTTGTATTTCACACATACATTTATATTTAAAAGACTCTCTGTTGTTTATTACTCGTTGTGAGCAAACTAATTTGGTTGTAAGTTAGGTCAAGTTAAGTCAAGAAAAGTTAGATCTCTCAGATCGACGATGATAAATTTCGACACGTCATCAAAGATAAGTTAAAACAAGTCACATCAGAGAGTCAGATCATTACCCATTCGACTTCAAAGTATCATCTTCTTCAAAAAGTCTTCATTTTTATTTTGGTTGACTTGGTCGGATTTTGTGGGAAGAAGGAAGATGAAGTGTTTTCACTTCACCAATGGCGACAAGCGAGGAACAACAACAACAACAATCGATGAAGGAGGAGGAGACAGTGTCGTTTCGAGAGCTTCAAGACTCTCATGGGCTCGGTCTCTAAGCGTAGCATCATCAAGCACTTCTGACCCAACTCGGAGGTCTGAGTTTGACTCAGACTGGAGTCTCTCACCGGACAGAATTGGTTTCCCTAGACCGTTGAGTCAACGTTGGATCGGTGGGCTTGTTGCTGAGAACGATCTAAAGGTGTTTACTTATAAAGAGCTGAAATTGGCTACTAAAGGGTTTAATAGAGGTCTTCTGATTGGTGAAGGAGGGTTTGGTTGTGTTTATAGAGGCATAGTTGATGTATCAGACTCTAATGGTTTTGATTCGAAGGTTCATGTTGCTGTTAAACAGCTTAATCGTCAAGGTTTACAGGCATGACTCTAATCTTTGACTCTGTTCTGTTCTGCTTCAATTAGTCTTGTAAAGGTTTCAACTTTGAAACCAAATTGATTCAAGAATAGGTAAACCGGAAAAGGAGAAACTTTTTTACTTTGTGGTTTTGTGATTGAGTTTTTGAATTTTGTGTGTTTGTGATTGGATTTGATGTTGTTGTTGTGTGTTTTTTTCTTGTGGTATATCTTTGTGTGTGTGCAGAACAAGAATGTTTTACAGGCATGACATTTTTGATACTGTTCTGCTTCAGTTAGTTCCGTAAAGGTTTCAGTTTGAACGAAATTGATTGAAGAAACGTTTTTAAGCTGGTCTAGTAAGAACTTTACTTTGTGATTGATTCTTCGAATTGTGTATGTTGTGATTAGGTTTCTTGTTATGTGTGTTTTGTCTCTTCACTCTGTTCTGCTTCATTAGTCCCGTAAATGTTTCATTTTGATGAGCTACAAGCAAATTTGAAACCTAATTGATTGAAGAAACAATAAACCGTAGAAGAGGAAACGTTTTGGTTTCATCTTGCAGGAACTTTGTGGTTTTTGATTGAATAGTAAATTGTGTTCGTGTGATTAGATTTCTTGTTCTTGTGTGAGTGATTGAATATTTGTTTTGCGTTCTAGTGTTCAGGGGCATAAAGAATGGATCAATGAGGTGAATTTTCTAGGTGTAGTGAATCATCCAAATCTTGTGAAGTTAGTTGGGTATTGTGCTGATGATGATGAAAGAGGGATGCAACGGCTTCTAGTTTATGAACTTATGTGCAATAAAAGCTTGGAGGATCATCTCGTAGGCCGAGTTGTGGCTGTATCCCTTCCGTGGATGACGAGGTTAAAGATTGCTCAGGACGCTGCTCAAGGCTTGGCGTATCTTCATGAAGAAATGGATTTTCAGGTTAAGACTTTGCATTTCACTCCCCTACCTACAATTTATGACCGTTTTGTGTTTGTGTTCTGAGTATTTTTTTGGTTCTTGTAAATTATTTAGCTGATTTTTCGAGATTTCAAGTCTTCAAATATCTTGCTTGACGAGAGATTTGGTGCTAAGCTCTCGGATTTTGGATTAGCTAGGCAAGGACCTCCTGAAGGACTTGGTCATGTGTCCACTTCAGTATGTATTTGTTGGAGCATTCTTTGTCTTCTGAACATAACATATCTTGAAGACTTGAAGTCTTTAACTCTGTCTTGTTTTGGAAGGTTGTAGGTACAGTTGGTTACGCAGCTCCTGAGTATGTACAAACTGGGAAATTGACGGCAAAAAGTGATGTTTGGAGCTATGGGGTAGTTTTGTATGAACTGATCACGGGAAGACGAGCAATAGACAGAAATCGACCTCGGGGGGAACAGAAGCTTCTAGAATGGGTGAAACCTTATGTGTCAGACTCGAAGAAATTCCATGTGATTGTGGATCCTCGGCTCGAGGGACAGTGCTACTGTATGAAGTCTGTTCAGAGAGTAGCTGCTTTAGCAAACAAATGTCTAGTGAAGCAACCAAAATCACGGCCTAAAATGAGCGAAGTTGTTTCACTTCTTGGACGCATCATCGATGAAGAAGCAGAAAACGTTCCTCACCCAGTTGCTGATGAAACAGGAGAGATCATCAAAGCTGAGGTAAATAGAGACCTTGAGCCTGAGCTGAAGAAGCAAGGGAGTAATTACCGTAAGAAGGTTCTTGAGCTCAGGGATAAGATGAACTTAAACAAGTCGCTTTCAAAGCTAGACTGGCGAAACTGGACACCAGGACTGGTCAGAACATGGTAGATTAGTGTCTTTGCTGTATATAAATTTCTTAGCCAAAGAATTTAAAGTAACTAACACCAAAGAAACTGCTTCTTGTTTGTTACTATCAAATTGTTTTGATGTGCATTTGCTTGTATATATGGTTTGGAAAGCATCTGTCATTTTTCTCATTTCCTTTTACATCTAGCAGAGCTTGAAGTTGAAGACAAGAGAGATCATTTTTATGTCAAGTCAAATCTCGCACTACAAAGATCAATTGTCAAATCTCGCGTAGTGTAAACGAGCAATGAACTGAATCCTTTCGGTACATAAGCAGACGCAAAACTGTACATCTGAACTAAGCAGAACATCATCATTTCTTACTCAGACAAACAGAGGCGAATTGGATGGGCGTGGATAAGCAGTAGCTATGACACCGACCGCGGTTTGCCGAGCAAAACCTGCATTTGGTTTTTGGTTGATAGCAACACTATCGCTTCTCCTACGCATTCGTCTTTCGACCTTATCGACGTTTCTTCCTCCTGCTTCATTCAAAGTTTGGATGTGTTCAAGGTGAGCAACAACCTCGTTCATGTTTGGCCTCAGCTTTATCTCGTATGTGAGGCATCTGAGCACCAGAGTAGCTACTTTACATGCTTCTTCCATTGAGTATTGATCTTGTAAACGGTTGTCGATAACTCGGAATAACTTCCTTTTGTTTGCAAGTAACGGTTTTGCCCATTCCACCAGCTTTTGCTCTCCTGGTGGACGGTTCTTGTCTACAACTCTCCGTCCAGACAACACCTCCAAAAGCACGACACCGTAGCTATAGACATCACTTTTGGTTGTTAAATGACCTAAGGAAAGTAAAAGAGTCAGTAGTCATCAGAAAGAAGTTCATCAAATCATAGAGAGAAATGATTCTTGAGACTAACCAGTCGCAAGGTATTCAGGAGCCGCGTATCCGTAAGTACCCATGATTCGCGTAGAGACATGGCTTTTATCTCCAGTAGGTCCATCTTTAGCCAATCCGAAATCAGAAAGCTTGGCATTGTAATCCTGTGATCATCATGTCAAAGACAAGGGTTAACATAAAGCCTTAAACTTTCACAACTTTGTTCATCAACATCAAGCGGATATATCTCTATTACCGAATCAAGAAGTATATTCGAAGTTTTGAAATCGCGGTATATGACACTAGTCTCGGCGTTGTGAAGAAAAGCAAGGCCTTTCGCAGCACCAAGAGCAACTTTCAACCGGAGAGTCCAAGATAAAGGTTGGAAGTAAGAACCTCCTGCAACCACAAGAAACAGAATTTAAGTACTCAAGATACGTTTTCGAATCAATCAGAATACATAAAGACTGAGTGAGAGTGAGAGAGATAATACTTCTGAATAGATGATTCTCTAAGCTTCCACGAGGCATGAACTCGTAAACAAGAAGACGATGCTCATCCTCTAAGGAATAACCAATCAGTTTCACAAGATTAGGATGCGAAAACTGCCCCAAGTAATTCACTTCCGCCTGCAAACAACAACAATAATCAAGAATCTGCAAATCTTGATCACACTTCAAGAAGATCAAAATATAGAAGTTTGAATTTACCAGCCATTCTTGGTGACCTTGCCAACCATCTTGGTTAAGCTTTTTGACAGCAATAACCACACCGGTCCCTGGTTTAGAAGCAGTGAGAGTCTGCTCATCGATCCATCCTTTAAAGACAGAACCAAATCCACCTTCACCAAGAACACTATCTGGTCTGAAATTCCTAGTAGCTGCTTTGAGCTCAGCAAAAGTGAAACTTTTGAGGTTTGGAGATTGCAAGATCTCTCCTTCTGTTCTTGGGTTTGTTCTGATAGACACAGAAGAGCCTTTGCTTCCCATACTTTGTGAATCATTAGCCTCTGAACTCATATACTTCGGACTCGCACCTATGCAACAACCAAACACATAGTTTACATACAAAAAGACGTTAGATTTCACTTTTTGTCCCAATCCCATTTTTGTTTCTCTCTAAAAGAAAAGATCAGACAAAAGTAAAGTAAAAACAACTCTGATTTGTTTAAACAACAATGAAGCGTGAATAAACCAAACACCCCAAACAAAAAAAGACAAAGTTTCAGATAATTAATCAATTATACTAAGAAAAACCTTTGACAGATTTGTCAAAACATTAAGCCTAACTTTAAAGTTAAGTCCTTCTTATATCCTCCAACCACCATAAAACCTAACCTCTAATTGAAATAAAAATTAACAAACAAAATCTAATTTAAGACCCTACTTAAAATACCAACTTATAAAAAAACCTTGAAATTGTATTAAAAAAAATCAACTCTTTCTTGTTTTGCAATGAAGTACCTTGCTTACCTGGACTCACAGCTTTAATCTGAGCACTCAAGCAAATCCCCATGATTCTTTGAGGAGAAACAAAACAAAACAAAACCCTTTTGGTATCAGAGACTAAAGATCAGAAAAGGTTTAAACTTTATCAATGGAAATTGGAAAGATTTAAACTTTATGAATTGGGAAGTTGAAGAAGCAAGAAAACAGATCAAATTGTGAGGATAAAAAAAAAAACTGTTTTTGTTTTTTGGGTGAGTTTAAGAGGATAAATGAGAGAGAGGAACTCAAAATTCTTGCTTACATATTTGATTTGTCAACCAAGAAATAGAGTAGAGAGAGAGAGAGATAGAGAGAGAGAAGAGTATTTGCAAATTTTGGCTGAGCAAGTAGCTGAAAGAGAGAAAGTGAAAGGAGTTGGGGAGGTGGCATTGATGGCGAAACCGGTCCCGCCTTTATATCTCTTTATTCTTTTTCAAATCATTTTTGTCTTAGTCTTCGTCAATTTTGTGTTTTTTTTTTACATTTGAAGAATATGATTGTCCAAGACTCCAAGTCTTTTAGATGTTACAATGTATTTGAACTTTTGCAAAAAGAACATTCTTATGTATTTGTGGGTGATATTTTTTTCGATTTTTGATCAGCTTCGTTTATGTGATTGATGTTTTTCGAGAAGTTATGTTTTGCTCCTATCGTTTTGAAGATTCTAACTTAAACATTTCTTGACTTATCAACATTGTCGTCGCTTCTGGAATTAAGTGATCTTGGTTACCATGTTTTGAAGTTTATAGTTTAATTTATGGTTTCAAAAGATCGGTCCTCATCGTATTACGAAAAAATAAATATTATTTTTGAGTTGACCGTAAACATTTTTGATAAATCTCATTCGATTATGTTTTTCTATAGTTTTCTTTTAGTTTTTTTTTTTTACAGTTAGTTTCGTGTTCTTTTTGATTTCTAAACACTAAACAGTGAGGTAGTATTGTAAACAGTGATATATTTATATGGAATTCATAAGTATTGTCTTAATTGTATAATAACACCAGAGAAATTTATAAATCAAATCATATTTCTCAACTCTCAATGAAAATAAACATGCATGGCTGTAAAAATATTATAACCACGTGAAGTAAACAGCTTACACGGCGGTCCAATCGTTTATCCGCCGTTGAATATTCCAATTTAGACATATAACGTCACGATGCCTTAACCTGAGTTTGACTCATGTCGGCCAAGTGTCCAAATCCCACATTTAATTTGCTCTTCTTCGATCATTCAATCCCGACCACAACATGTTCAACCATAAGTACATTACTACCACTAGTTATGTGTTTCTATGTTTGATCATATATCATAGGTAGTAATAATATTTTTCTTGGTCTCTGATTTCTGAACACGACTATAGGCACCTGAACAAAAGTAAAAAGCTTACACTATAACTACTTTTCTCATTTGCTTTTTACGTGAACATATTAAACCAAAAAATATACTTTTACGTGACCATTTTGATACTATTCCACCGGTACTAAACGATACTATGTTCAATTGTTTCAAAATATTATATTGTGAAAGGTCTACGTTACAAATAAATAATTGTAAAAGGAATCAAAACCTATTAGATTAGCCATTTTTTAAAGCATTTTGATCCAAACTCTTTGTTCGGATACGAATGAACGGTGAAGAAAGAAGAAGAGGACACGAGCAAGTGAAAAATATAGACTTATGTCTCGTTGACCATATCTTGTGACCTATAAAATCTTAAAATATATTCCAACCACAAAATCTCTAATATTTAAAACGAATATTGGGTTTTTTTTTCTGTAACAAAAAAAAATTTCTGTATTATTATTTTTTATACAAAAGAAAAGTTTATTCTAGTAAAGATTGTTGTCTACCTTAAAAAATTATTCAAAATTATTATATATGGTTTGACCAAAAAAAAATTATTATATTGTTTGTTAGCTAATGAATTTCTCAATGAAGATGATACAAAACATTTATCAAAAATAATAAATACAAAAAACATTTGTTAAAAAATAATCATCATGAGAAAGTCAAGTTTTCATAAAGGGTTCGTGGTTAGTGGACTAATTATATATTTGGTTCAATTAGCAGTAGTATTAAGAAAATGTATTATTTTGCCAGAAAGATTAAAACAGTGCCCGTGATAGTATCTAGCTAGCTATCAATGTAAACCTAACGCCCACGTTTGTTGTCAGTCGTCACATTGTAAAACAGTAAAAGATTTGCTTTATTTCAATCTTTTTGATTTAATCATATCTTAATAAAAAAAAAATATCAGTATGTACTTTACAATACCACAAAAGTCTCGTGCAAATTTATTACCACGATTAACTTAAGAGCTTATTATAAAACTAGGCATTATTTTGCTTCTAACTTCGAATTTAGGTATTGCAACAAGCAAAGCACTAAAAAAATAAGAAAACCAACTGTACATGACATTATTGCCCCGGATGTTTTAAGCGGCATAAGAGACTGACGTTATCGAAATTAGGCAAGTTGTTAAACGAAGATAATTTTTTCATGAACGGGAAATCATCTACAATGGCGCACATGAATTTATGCCAATCATGTGGACTAGAAGTAAGCTACGAGAGTTAGTTTTAGGTTATTTAGGGTCTGTGGTGAACTCCACAGTATTAGATGAAACAGAGAGAACTAAACCCAGAGTTAGTAGCTACTAAACCCAAGTAGAACCTATAACTTTGATTTTAGTATAGCAAAACTAGTTAGTATAAAAACATATCATTTTAACGTAGATTATTTGAGTGAAAAAATATTCACTAAAACCTAGTCTAAGAGACTAAACAACCCAATCAAAATTAGTCATGTCATTTAATTAAATAAATTAAAATAATTAATATTTATAAACCTAAAACAAAATTTAATTTATAAACTCTCCAATTTAATTTTGTTTAATAACAAAATCTAAACTCTAACCACTATTTTATCAATCCAAAATTAGATATAATATCGTTTAATTACAAAATCTAAACCCTAACCACTATTTTATCAACCCAAACCAAAATATAATCTCGTTTAATCACAAAATCTAAATCCTAACTACTATTTTACGAACCCAAACCGAAATATAATCTCGTTTAATCACAAAATCTAAATCCTAACTACTATTTTACGAACCCAAACCGAAATATAATTTTGTTTAATTACAGAATATAAACCCCAACAACTATTTTATCAATCCAAACCAAAATATAATTTTGTTTATTTATAAAATCTAAACCCTAACCACTATATTATAAACCCAAACCAAAATATAATTTTATTTATTTATAAAATTTAAATCCTAGCTACTATTTTATCAACCCAAATTGAATGTAATTTTCTTAATAAAAATCTTACAAAAAGTTTTCCTTAATTTGTTTTATTTTATTAATTTTAATTTTGATTTATTTTTAAACAGAAAATGATATGGCATATTATTGTATTTTGATTGATTAATTAAGAATAGATGAAAATCCAAGTATTTTTCAAGAATTAAATAGTATGGGAGATTGAATAGATTTGTGAAAGCAGAATGAGTTCTACTGTGTATTTTCTTTGAGTGGACATCATCTTTTCACAACAATTTTTTTTTTATATAACCCAAATAATTTTGAGTGTTTAATCAATTTTGTCGTATGTGGAAACTGGAAAATCATTAGTGTAACAAAACCATTAGCATCAACCATTGAGTATGAGTTGTATGATGCCATATATTAAGGATAATATAGTAATTTTCGAAAACCCAAGTACCTAAATCTGAAGTTCAGTAGGCACAGTACTTCTTTCCGAAAGGCATCCGTATTTCTATACTTTTTTTGTAAATAACTCTTAAATTAACTGAGTAACCGATATCGAACTATTGAAACTAATTTTACTATTTGCAACAGTGTCAAATGTAAAAGATACTAATTTTGTGAGGATCCAATAACCATATAGTTGATGACAGGATTATGAAACAACTTGTCTAGCAATAATCTCCACAGTTGATCCAATGTTCAAATCTTTCTATACTAATTTTAGCGAAAAAATGGCATAAACTTGTAAGCTTTTATAACCTCTATCGCAAAAAGAAAAAATGGTATAAAACTTAACATAAGAAAAAAAATTATTCGATATTATATTTCACATCCGTAAAATAGATATATCATATGTTATCTAAGATGATAATCGTTTTAATATGTTGCCGATTAATTTTTGTTGAAAGATGCCTAATCACGTAGTCCGTACGTTTCGTTTGTGCAAAAAAAGAAAAAGCAAACCAACGAGAATAGACTATTGTGGGTTTTTGGTTGAGTGTTAATCATAATTTATTGAGTCCATTTTTTTTCCAACTTGAAGAGGATTCTTGATTGATCCATCACTAATTAATGACTATTATGATCGTCGCCATCAAGTGTCAATTTTAACAGATTATAGTAAATCAACAAATATGTTGAATGAGTGATCTCATGAAGTTATCATATTAAGAAAAGGGATCACTTTATGTCATAGAAAATTAAGACTATATAGTAAAAAATAAACGACATTTTCCAAATAAGTATAATAATACATTAATACCAATCAATCGTTGAAATTATGAGCAAGAAAAGTCAATAGAGTGATTTTGATGTGTCTTTTGATTGCAATACGATAAGCTTCAAAGAAACTAGCTAAGCTAATGCTCTTTTTATACCATTGATTTTCTAAATTTTTCTATAACAATGCAAAGCCAGCTATTTTTTTTTTTTTTGGTAGAATGCAAAGCCAGCTATTTAGTTGACTAAGCTGCACTTAACCGATTTAACTTTGAACTAGTGTCTTCCTTATTAATGATTAAGTTTGAAAAAAAGTCAAAAACCAATCGAGTGCAACCAAAACGGCCTCGCAAAATGTAAGCATTTTCATGTAATAATTGTCTAAACCAATATGAAAATTTTAGTAATATATATATATATATATATTACTAAAGTTACAAATCCGCTGTCATCTAATATGATACAAGGCAGATGGCCGGCTGTTGACTTTTAAGGTTCCGACCTTTAATTTCTCATCGTATAAACATTTTCATTTTTCATTTTCGTCACGGGTCGGTCGATCTTAAAATATCAGTTTTATATGTGCATGTACTTGTATGTAGCTCGTGACTATTCATGAGATAAAGACTTTGATGCTTTTAAGTTTTGACCTAAAAAAAAGTTGCATGTGTAGAAGAGGTCTGAAGTCAGCTTATATGTATATTATATAGCCTGATATATATGTATATTCTCATGATATATTTGATAAAATCATAACTCCCATTTGCATTTGTAAGCCAACGTCCATTTATTTCCTTTCATAAGCCAAAAAAGTTGTAACTATAACTATATCATGGTAAAGATTAATCTCATTAGTAAACAAAAACTTGACTAATGCTTCAAGCTATCATTGTGAGTTGTGACGTGCTCTATGCTCCAACGTCGCAACAAAATGTTTCCGACAGAGCTATCTAATCTAACAGTTCACTCCAATAAGAACGGCACTATTCACCAAATCTAACTAGATTTACTTAACATTCACAAACCAAAATACATATATGGAACGTACGAAACACTTGTTTCGGTCAATAGAAGTCTAGTTTTTTTAATAATCGACTTATCACATCAAACTTAACGAACACATTAAACTTACCACATTGGTTTTTGTAGCTTATAAAATAGGATGTGATCATCTAGAAGCTAGGACTAGGAGGTGTTGACGAAGAACATTTTGAGAAATAAATGTAATTGAGAAGTCAAACAAATTGTGGGAGCAAGTATGTCAAAGTGATTTATGATGTCAGCATATTGATATGATCTAAAGAGAGACTTGACTCTTGAATTGAATCTTTCAAAATTGATGATCATGATATATATAATCCGTACGGTTCACATGTACTTTGGTAGTTTTTGTTTTGTACAAATGTCAACGCCGAAATTTAAATATTTTAGGAGGCAGGTTAGGTTAGGGGGAAGAGTTGTCAATTAAACAAAACTAATTAAGGAACTTAGAAAAATTCATGATACGAAAACAAATTCATATATTTTGTGGGCTTCACTTGATGGAAAGCCTCGGCCCATGAGTCATATTTAGTAGCCTTTTTATTCTCTTTTACTTGGGGTTTACAAGTTTTTGTAATATTTCAATGATGAAAATATATTTTATTAATAAAATTTTATTAATCAATATAATTAACACGTAAAATTGTCAGAATTTTATACTAAGAAAACTCAAATGAAACTTTTTGATAATTCGATCTTATAAAAGTTTGATTTTTATTATTCGGTCCATTTCTATAAATCTATAATTTGATTTTTTTTTTCCTTCAAATTATGTACATTTACATACATACACGATTCAAAGACCCAGGTAGAAATTACAAATTCCTAAATCCCAAATAACAGTAAAAATATCGAATTTGGGATCAAACCGGATCGAACCGAATATTAAACCACTAATCTCTCTCATCCTTTGGCCCTTTCTCTCTACCAATCACCAAACCACTGAAACGGTGCTCTACAAACCGGACACGTCAGCTTATAAAAACACCACGAATCAATACACTCCACGTGGAACACGTGTTTGCATCTCACAAGAACTCTAACGACGTCGTTTACTTTAAAATCCTCCAAACAAATCACGCACATGTCTGCTCTAACTCCGTCACCGTCACCACAACCACCATCTCCTCCGCCGCATTTCGTGAGTCTCACGGCGGGTGGTAACGGCTCTCCGGCTTCTTCGTCGCCGATTTCCTCCTTCGGTAGCTTCGGGTACATTACAAAACAGAGGAGAATGATCGAACCGTAAAAAAGAACGATGAAGACAATACATAGAAGTCTCAACGCAATTGATTCGGATTCTGTCACCACCGCCGCCATCTCCGGCGATGAAGCAACCGCCACGTAATCACCACAACAACTTGATTCCATTTTTTTTAATATTTGAAAATAAAATTGAAAATTTTGTGAAGTTGATTTGATTTGAGGATGGCATAGTGAGATGTTCTTAAATATAAGATTATAATATTTGTTTGATTAGTGTTAATTACGATTAGTGTGATGAACTGGTTATTAAAAAAACTGAATTAACGTAATTTGGTTATAGTTTTGTGGAGAGAGAGGTGGCGGGAAGGATTAAGTGGAGAAATATTGGAGGTGATTAAATTGTTAATTAGAAGTTAGGATTTTTAAGTGTATTATGAGTTTTTGATTAATTGTAATGAACCTTGAGAAAAAAACTGATTTTAAATTAAGGATTTCCGCAGTTTTGTTTGTTTTTTTATCTGGAGTTTCACTACATATTCTTTTAAAATATATCGTTTAGCCCCCAAAACAATAAAAGTATTTTTGACGTAATTTTACAGTGTTGATTGGTTTTGTTGTTATTAACCGCAGACAATTACGATTGATTGTTAACGATTGATAATAATCATAAAAACCATTTTTATACTTGTCATATCCAAACTATATAAAGAGTTCATTCGATAAAAATATTTTTTTGTTATTTTTAACTATTTATCAAATTTTATATTATATTTATTTATAACTTAGTTTTCTCTCTCAAATTTTTTGGAGAGGGAAAGCTATTGTTTATGTTTTCCGACGAAACTTATCGTCGGTTTTTTTGTCTCTGGCTAAGTCTGTTTTACCTTTCTCGTTTAAGTGCGATTTTTTTAATGAGATTTTGTGTTTTTTATTTTTATATTTTTTTTCTCTTTTTTTTGTAAAACTCCAGAAACTACCTAAAAGCCTTTTCTCGTTGACAACCATTCCGAGATAGAATTTCATTTGAACTATTTTCTTGATTGGCTTTTTTTCCTTGGTGCTGCTTGCGCTAGAATTTCTAAATTTAGTTAGTAGGGAGATGTTGGCAGAAGAAGGTGAACTTTCGTAAAAGCTGACGCTCGATTTCATTCATAAGGAAAGTACTTAAATTGCAAAAACGTTTTGGGTGCATTATGTAGTAGTAAAAATTTGTTGCATCCTTGAAGTAAAAAGAGCGATTTTATTCGCCGGAAAATTCTCGAATATGATCGATGATTCAGCTCAAATAAAAATACGGTATCGAATCGGTCGCTTTTCCATTACCCCTTTTCGTAAGAACACATGTCTGTCCCATTGTAGACCTAGGTTATTGCTTTGTAGTATCATTTGTATGGATTTACGTTTGGGCTATTATTTTGGCTACTGAACTCTTGTAAACTGCCCTTATTAGATTTAGTCAACAAACTGACAAAAATATATATATATATATATAATGTACTACCCAATTTTTAAGTTTTTCTTTCACTCCTAGAAATTCTGTTCAACCATTGATAGAACTTTATGGTATTATCTATTATGTATCCATGAAAGTTGTATTTAATATTTACACTTTGTTGTGTTATTTTTGTAAAACCTTGTGAGTTGTGACAAACAAATTCAAGATGATAAGTTACACAAGAAATGGGGGACATAAATGTAAAATAACAAAAGTTAAAGTCGGTTCTCAAGTTATTTCCCAATCTTTATAATATTGCCCTCAGACTTTCTTATTTTCCCCTTTTTGCCTCTCTTCATCAAATCAGAGGCCACCGGAGAAGACGATTAAAATCGAACCTTTTCTTCATCCATCTCTCTCCGTCGCTTCTCGCTCGCTAAGGACTTCTTCCATCAGATCAGGTTATTGATTTCTTCCTCTCTTTAGGATCTTAATTTCATCGGAACCCTAGAGATCTATCTTCGTTCATCGCCAGATTCGTATTTGTTGATTTGGGGGATTTTAAAAAACCTAGCTTTTCTGTGTAATCGATTGAATTTTATTGCCGAGATATTGATTGGTTCTCGTTTTTGGTTAGGTTAGGTTTGTGAAGTTTCTTCTAGGGTTTCGAAAAGATGCCGGCGACTGCAGGAAGAGTGCGTATGCCCGCAAACAATAGGGTGCATAGTAGTGCAGCGCTTCAGACTCACGGGATATGGCAGAGTGCGATTGGTTATGATCCTTATGCACCAACCAGTAAAGAAGAGCCTAAGACGACTCAGCAGAAGACCGAAGATCCCGAGAACTCGTATGCGAGTTTCCAGGGTCTTTTGGCGCTTGCGAGAATCACTGGTTCGAATAACGATGAGGCTCGTGGGTCTTGTAAGAAGTGTGGTCGTGTTGGGCATTTGACGTTTCAGTGTAGGAATTTCTTGAGTACTAAGGATGATAAGGAGAAGGATCCTGCTGCGATTGAAGCTGCTGTTTTGTCGGGGTTGGATAAGATTAGGAAAAGTGTTGGTAAAGGTGGGGTGGAGGAGGAGAGTAGTGAAGAGGAAGAGGAGAGTGAGAGTTCTGATTCGGATGTTGATTCTGAGATGGAGAGGATTATAGCTGAGAGGTATGGGAAGAAGAAGAGTGGGAGTGGTAGTGTTAAGAAGACGAGTTCGGCGAGGAAGAAGAAGAAGCGGGTTTCTGATGAGTCTGATTCTGATTCGGATTCAGGAGATAGGAAGAGAAGGCGGAGGTCGAAGAAGAAGAAGAGGTCGCATAAGAGAAGGAGTATCAGTGAGTCTGAGGATGAGGAAGAGGGAAGGAGTAAGAGAAGAAAGGAGAGGAGAGGAAGGAAGAGAGATGAGGATGATTCTGATGAGTCTGAGGATGAAGATGACAGACGTGTGAAGAGGAAGAGTAGAAAGGAGAAGAGGAGAAGGAGAAGCCGTCGTAATCATTCTGATGATTCCGATTCAGAGTCCTCTGAGGATGACAGAAGGCAGAAGCGGAGGAACAAAGTCGCAGCCTCTTCTGATTCTGAGGCCAATGGTTCAGGCGATGATGTCTCACGCGTTGGACGAGGTTCTTCTAAGAGGCATGAGAAGAAGAGCAGGAAACGCCATCACAGGAAAGAGTGAAGTAAGATCTATCTTTATGGGCCATTTTCCCTCTCCATTTCCCCCTATCAATCCTAATATATCTTATGTACAATAATGAACATGGCTTGTATGGGATTTGGATTTGTGTTGAATTTGCAATCCATCTCTTGTTTGGTCTCTGTTTATTTCAAGGATGTGTAACATTTGTGAGATACTTGGTGTTGTTGATTGTGAGTCATTTAACTCTATTTCTCCAGTACTGATCTTAGATTTGATTATTGTTACTAAAGTTCCGATTTTTACATGTCATGTTGTTCTCTATACATATTGTGAGTAGTTTACTAATCTTGATTCTAAGTGCCTTCAACACTATTGATTCAAGACTGATCTTAGAATTGATTGGTTTGTTTTTAAAGTCCCGATTTTTACGTTATTCTTACGTCGGCAATAGTAAAGAAGAGCTCATCACGTCGGCAAGTGTCGCTGTGGAGAGATCACGAGATTCGTGGGTTGGGATAATTGGATTTGGCATGGCTCTAAACTAAGAGGACAAACTCGTCTTTCACATAGCTCGAGTTTCATGGCTTGATTCATACAATATCAGAATATCTACTCGTGGGTCCTTTGTTTAATCTCTTCTCCACCGTTGAACCAAAGTTTAACATATCCACCGTTAATGTTAAAAGCCACTTTATATATCCCAAGAAAATAGTTGAACTTGTTACAGAAACAAGATCAGAGTGAAAAAAATATCTCAAACAGAGGAAGAAGAAGAAGAAGAAGAAAGATGCCTTCAAGCACATTCTCCGGTACCGTGAGTACGCCGAAGCTTTCGGTGGCTGTTGATATGGGAAACCCTTTTCTCAATCTCACCGTCGATGCTTTCCTCAAGATCGGAGCTGTATAATACTAATCCCTCTCTCTCTTTCTTTGATGGATCATTTTGTTACTTTTGTCTCTAATTGATTTATCTTTGATGGGTTTAGGTTGGAGTCACTAAATCTATTGCAGAAGATACTTACAAGGCCATTGACAAAGGTAAGCCCTCAACTTTATCAAACATAAACAAGTAAAGTGTTCTTGTTTTGTCAATGTTTGTTATAGTCTGGTGAGTTTGATGAACTTAAAAGCATAGAAGAAGTTGTAGTCTTTACTTTAGCTAAATCCCTTTAGCTAGACAAACTTTTTCTATAATTGGACAGAACACATTGTGATGGATCTGTTTTTTTTTTTCTGTGCTTATCATTACTACTTTTTGTTTGTTGGAGCTGCAAAATATCATTTTTTACTCCATGGTTCGTATATTGTAGGGAGTCTCTCCAAGAGCACTTTGGAGAATGCGGTGAGTATACACTGCTGAATCAAATCTATCTATATGTGGTTTGTAGAAATGTTAAGTTTCTGATATTCTACTTAATATTGTTGCAGCTTAAGAAGTTGTGCAAAGAAGGTGTTTACTGGGGTAAGTTAGTTTCTAGACCCATTGATTTGGTTTCAACATATGAAAATAAGTTTAAAGATTCCAAACATATGAATATGATCAGGAGCTGCGGCTGGAGTCTATGTTGGAACAGAGTATGGAATCGAACGTGTCCGTGGCACTAGAGACTGGGTACTAATACATTTCTCTTAACATTTTTATGCTTTAAGATTTTTGCAAAACTAATTGGTTTGAATGTATTGTTATTAGAAAAACGCAATGCTAGCAGGCGCGGCGACAGGAGCAGTGCTCTCTGCGGCTGGCAAGAAAGGCAAAGACACTGTCGTGATCGATGCCATCCTCGGTGGCGCGCTTGCAACCGCTTCTCAGTTCCTTAACAATCATTATTTCTACTGATTCTCAAATCTTTGTATAGGGACCAATTTGGTTTCCAATGTCGGTTCTCTATATATGGTGGATGATTTGCCTTTGTTTGCTCTTTCAATAAAAAACAATGTTGTAGTGTTTTTGAATGAATCATTTGAATTGAGTATTGTGAACGTTAGTTGTGCAATTTAGCTTATTATATATAAGAAAATGCCTCAAAATAATGAAAATTTTTGTATAGAAAGTAGCAAATGATTTGTGGTTTCTATAAAAACTCAATGATGTGTACGCAAAGACTCAAAACTTAACGAGTTGTCCAATGTGGAAATGTGTGTACTTAACTTCAGTATAGTAAAACGTAGCGAATAATTAAAGTTAAAAAGTTTCTATGATTTATTAATTTTTTTTCCGAGGAAATTACACAATACTAGATTGGGCTTTTGATGAATGGGATTGGGATAGGATTAGATTAAAAACTTTAAATTTGGGCCTTAATGTTGAAGTCTCAACCCATTATCTCACAAACACTTTTATATACATGTCCCTAAGCTTTGGCTGGTGGCCTCTAAGAGGACCTCGTAAGGTAATAGTAATGATTCATGTGCATAAGCTTATTGTGTAGGTCAGATCATAAACTAAGAATCAACGGTATCTTTAAAAAAGGCTAATTTCTTTTAGAAAACAACCACATGAATCATTGAAATGAGCTTCTAATGGCAGTAGTTTCCATACACATCATTACAATAAACTACTTACAATTTAAATAAATAAAACGATATACGTGTAGTTGTTGGAGAGTGTCTCTTGGTGTGTGTTCACTTAAAGATATAAGGTAGTGGAGAAAAATGGTGGTGGAAATGAAAGTGACAATGCTGTCTGCAACAAAATATTTCTCATGGATCTTTATATGTTTGCTTAATGGCTACCATCTCTCCCGATCTCTCTATCTTTCTCTACCACTTTCTTCCTTCCTCAAGCCATACTTCTCATTCAACCAATCTTCTCACATTACATCAAATCATTCAACTTAACCCCATTGTCTACAAAGAAACTAATATAGTATAGTCTATGTACATATCATCAAGATCTAAAGTTTTCTATAGGACTATCTCGAGTTGGTGCTTCACTTGTTTGGGTCAATCAAAACTATGCATTAGAATAATATTCGTAAAATCTAATAATGACAAAGTGAGAATAAAAATGAGACGTAATAATAGTGTGAAAGTTTTAGGGGAGAGTAACATGTATATTCCATATACTTCCATAATAGGTGAACTTGCATAAGTGGGTTGAAAGATGAGTCAAGACAACAATACTTTAGTGCCAGCAAAGCCATAAGATCCACCAAATCATAAACTGACACAAAAGACCCACTTCTCTTATTATTCTTTACGATAACTAATCCCCACCATTAAGGTCCACTAATCAAAATTTTGTTTTGTTTATTCGTTTTCATAAAGTCAAAATTATTAAGAGAAGCAAATTAGTGATTTAATTATCATCTCTCTTTCTTCCAACGAATACTTTATTTTTAAAGGTCAATGATACAATACAACAAGTAGTCTTTGTTTTACTTTTTTTTTTTTTAACTTCATGCAATGTTTGTTATATAGTTCTTCTCGGTAAGTAATTTGACCAGTACGTATATATACTTTATATATAACCTTTGTGTTTTACTTTTATGTGTATTATATATAGAGCTTGCATAAACAACCGAACATATATTTTGGTTGTTCAATTTAGTCATTAACCGATCGATAATATGTGGAATTTTGTTTGGTTAACCAAGAACTTTGTTTAGTTCGGTTCGCGATTAATTATCATATATATATATATATATATATATATATATATATATATATATAATCTTTTTGTTTGAATAACCAGATTAGTCACAACTAAAGCTATTTTACAAAAATTTAGAATAGTTTTCGTTAAAACCAAATCGAACAATCCAAATTTTACCGAAATCATCGCAATTCTTAAAAATAACAAAAATATTGGTCTTAATAAAATTCAGTTAGTTTTAATTTTAAAATATCGAGAAACTGAACTAACCAAACCAGAATTTGATTCTCGGTTAATTTGGTAACATTATCAAAAATCAAAATAACCGAAAAATTGCACTAACCGGACTCGAACTTCTAATCAAAATATCGTTTTGCATGTTTTCTGAAATAGATTAAAATTCTAAAGACAATCTAGAAGTTGAGATTTATAGCATTGACTTTTTTGTTCTTTCTTCCCCATCTGTTTCAATAATTGTATTTGCCAGAACATGTCTAGGGATTTTATAAGGTTTGAAAATAAATTCCCAAATTGTTTTTCTTATGAAGTTAAGAGTATTCTAATGAAAAATGTTATCATCATGGCATTATACTTTAATATGGAAACATACATGGCAAGGGAATGGAGGGTTTCTCCACTTGCAAATATTACAAATGATGATGGACCTTGAAATTATATCAAGTGTGTTGTTTAGGTTAATGATTATTAAAAGTTGAAAAATTCGACATTTATGTTTAATTAACTATATCTTATTAACAAATCTCAACCTTAAAAACCTAATATGCTTTTAATTTATAATAATTAATTAAAAGCTAATGCGCAAGTTGGATATGTCTCCACTTATCTTTTCATGTTTTTTTTTTTTTGTCAACATGTTTAAATATACATTTTTGTCTTTGAAAGCAATGATTTAATAAGGGAAGACCCACTCTTCCTTATAGTATATAGTTTTCTCTAATTCTTTATGTCTAATGATAAATGTATTTGACATTTTCTTCCTCTTTTGAAACTTGCCCCTGAGTTACCACGTGTCTACTAAATTTGATTTAACTCTTAAACGTAGTAGTAATTAGGATTAATATAGTAGATCTTGATTACTTACCAAAGCAAGTTGAGAATTAATTAATGAGTTCGAAGCCTCATTTTGTGGATTACTATGAGACGATTTGACACCAATTCTTATATTGCAACGGCTCAACCAATATTGAAGAAAAATCAACTTTATAATATAGGTAATATATAAATTTATTTTGTGACCAAGTCTTGATATTAAAATTTCATAATGTCTTTGGTCATAGTCTCACCATCTAGCTCTGCTTTTTCCAAACGAAAATATTGGACTTTGTAGGTAAACACTTGACGAAAATTCATAACAAAGCAAAATAATTGACTTTGCAGGGAATACTTTAATCAATTTTTATGAAACTCCTAATGTGTTTTAAGGCAACTGGTACATATTATGCATACATATATATTCCTTACATATTGGTAAATATTCATGACCAATACTTATTGTTTTATGCAGATATGTAGCAATGTGGACAAACAACATAACAGTGTCACACATGGCAAATAGAGTCGATGTCTAAGCCAACCTAATCCACCTCCAAAAATTCTTTCTTATCATGGGAAAGTTATAATTTATGCATTAGTGTATACTAAATATAGCTTGGAAACAATCTTTTGATTCATGCATATGTATTTTTGTAGACATGCATGTAGCAATCGTCAACAAACCATACTCAACAAATGAAAATGTAACCTCAAGCCAGTGTCTAAACCACCCCATCTGCCTCCATGCAGACCTTCAAAGAGAAACAAAAACATCCAATGAACTCAGTTTATAGTATGAAGTCTTTCTTTTCTGGATTTTTATGTTGCAACATATTTAATTTTAATATTGGACACTTGCATCCATACTAGTAATCTTCTTTTTAGGATTCTTTAAGTTCTAATAGGTCTAAGTACACTCATCTTTATAATGAGATTTTTGGATTTGTCTTGACCAATAAAAATCGTATTGCAGTTCAAGTAACAATTGAAGACTAATTTTGGAAATTCGCACCCAATGCATGTGTCAACATTAGGGTTACTCAAACGGGTTTATCATTTTATTGGTTAAGACCTACAAATTAAGAAGAATTAATCCATCGCTGAATTTTCAAATACGTTACAATCCATCTCAATTATTTAGTAGTGAAACAAACTCTTAACCCCGGAATTCTAACACTTGGAAAAGAAGAAGAATCAATTTAAAAATTAATGTATTATACGTTACATTTTCTTTCAAAATTTGAATTTGAATTGGATTTGCATGATATTTGTTATGTGCTTACTGAGTTTATTTAAAACATTAATATACAAGTTATTCACTTTTTTCTTTTGTTTTCTAGTGTCCTGTGAAACGAATCCAAAACTCCAAAATTTAACACTTGGAAAATATTAGTAGCCAAATGTGCAGAGAATCTCAATTGTAACGTTTCGTGAAACTAACGATGCCTATTTTTAATATAAAGAATAGTTTTGTAACGGATTTGCCAAAATCGTGTGCAATTTATGTCGAGAATATTGGCTTTAATTATCATAAAGAATTGAAATTTAGGGTTTAGTATGCAAGGAACTCGTGTTCGGGTAGATAATTTTTCATCACGATTCTATGTTATTTAATAATTTTAAATAATATTTGAGTAATTAGTTTTTATTTTACCCGCTATTACCACAATTTTTAAAATCTCAAAGAGTTAGACAATGTAACTTTCTTTTTCTATTCTATTTTAGAATTTAATTAACCTTTTTTAATAAAAACTCCAAAAATTCTCTGTATTTTTTTTAAAAAACATCTTTAAATAAATTTTTACTTATATCGAAATATACATAAATCTAAAATGGACTAGTTCAGAAAATAAATTTAGTAAAAATAATTTTTCTAAATTTACTGAAAATTTCAATAAAATATTTTAATCAAAATTAGTCTTTTTTTTGGATACCGATCATAATTAGTTTAAATAATATATTTTTACTATTTAAAATTTCCATTCTCATTATTTCCAAACATTTTCTTTTCGAATATTCAAAATGGTGATACTTTTATATATAGTAAGCAAAAGTACACTACACTATATATACACATATGTACATTATAAATCACTTCATTTTGGTCTACTTCCAATCAAAATCTGAAAGAAAAAAAAGAAAGAAATGAAATGATTCCAAACATTCGAATCCTGCTGGCGTGATTTAGATTAGTAATTATCACAACCTCCAACTACAAAATATATATATAAATATATAAAACCACCACCCACTCCAAAAAAATCTAAAAGAAATTAGCAATAGACTTTTAAAATCATTAACAAAAAAAAAATTAGAGCATTAAATATTACAGTGTACTACATATTA